GCCCCCCCCCCCCCCCCCCCCCCACCCCCTCTCCTCCTGTCGACAGTGTTAAAAAAAACATTGAAGATTTCAATATTTGAGAGATATATCGTAAGTAGGATTATCAATTTCTCATTGATTAGGATTAATCTATAGGACTAACTAGTTTATCCTTTTTGATTTGCACATTTCGCAAGGCTCCTTTGACTAACAGTAAATTTAGTGTTAGTTACATTATGAAACGAACTATAGTCATATTTTTAGCTGCTATGGACGCCTTCTTGATAGCCAGGTAAAAATTTACCTAGATTGTTTTTATGGATTATGTGATAACTGTTGACAATTGCTGTGATTAATGTTTTAAAGTTTAGACTACCTTAACCCGAAAAATGGGGAATGCAGCTCCTGTATCGAGAGAGGTGAAAAATCAGGGCCAGGGACAAGAATTATATGATCTTGTGAATATGAAGGGTGGGGGTACATTAATTGAACTTATGAAGAAGGCAAGAGAGACTAATGACTACACAGAACTTGATACTGAAATTGATAAAATAGGAGAGAAATATCTGTATGAGGATAAAGACTGTAGTATAACTGTTTCTGAACTAATTAACTTTAGAAATAAAAATGACAAGAGTAAATTGGATTTATTTACCAATAGAATAAAACAGAAAAAACAAGATGTTCAGAATTCAATGAAGAAACAAAAAGCAACAGTATTTGGTAATTTTACTATTCTTTTATTAAAATATGTTGCAGCATTTTGAACAGCCTGACAGTGGTTCATGGAGCTAGAGAGCTTGATGCTATTCTGCAAGGATTTGATCGTGGCTTAAGTTGTGGTATTTTTAGCCAACTGTCGAGAATTTTCAATCTAAAGCTTACATGGAAAAGAGTTTATTATTGTTCTCATTCCAATCTGTATGTCCATTCTCTAAATAGTTGTACAGCTTTAAAAATTGTGTAAACAAAATTAGCACTACAACTCTTACATCTTTTAAATTGCTTTCAAATTTTTGGATAAAAATATTATGTTTTGTAGAACAGAAGAATGATATTTGTTGGAAGATAGATAAGAGAGGAACTGTAGGAGAAACTATTCTTCATCTGTGTTTTCTTAATATATCTCGAGCACATTCTGACCTTGCTAAAAGACTGATTAAAAAATATCCTAAAATAATTAATGATATTTATGCTGGAGATGAATATTATGGTAAGGTTATCAATGCTGATAAATAATTTCTAACCTTAGTCGTGGGATAATTTGGTTGTTGAGAATTCAGGGTGCTATACATAACTGACTCTGTATAATATGCTAGGCTTAAGCTTACATTGGTTAATGGTAAATACCCTTCAATGCACATTGTATGGTACTGGACTGCCTGTTTTCATTATCTCCATCAGAGCAGAAAAGTAGTACACAACAGTCCATTTCATTTTTTTTTTCGACATATTTTTAATTCAGGTGAAAATGTCCTACATATGGCTATTGTAAATGAAGATCCTGCCATGGTCAAATTCTTGTTAGATCACGGGGCAGATTGTCGATCTAGAGCTTGTGGAAATTTCTTCTTCCCAGATGACCAGAAGAAGTCAAGGACAGATAATCCTTATCATGAATGGGTTGATGTATCTAGGAAAACAAATTACGAAGGGTAGGGTGATTTTATTATTTTGTGGCATGCTTTATCAACAGTTCAAGTAACTGCTCTTCTACATGGGAAGAGGGGATTTTGGATACAAAAGGAGTTGAAGGATCAAATTTCGACTGTTGAACACTATTACTGATTAGCTTACCAAAAATGGTTCTTGTTTCTGAGACTACTACTGATCAGATGGTGCCCATTTATCTTCAAATATGGGATATTGAACTCTTATTTCCAAACCAGCTTCCCTATTGATACTTCTATATACTATCAACGTCATGAAATGAACTCTTGGAAGTCAGAATACCATTTTGATATGTGAAGCTTATTCATATTTATTGGTTTTCAGCCATGTTTATCTGGGTGAATATCCATTAAGTTTTGCTGCCTGTTTAGGACAAGAGGAGTGTGTGAGGTTATTAATAGCTAAAGATAGAAGTATAAACTCTGGAAGTCAAAATTATTTAGCTAATCTACAAGATGCTAATGGTAATACTGTCTTACATATGTTAGTTATTCAAGATAAAAAGGTTTGTATTCATTTATTTTATTAGTCAGAAACAAACAAAAATCTTTCTCTTAAAGTTATTCTTCAGCTCTTCATTTTTATACGCCCACATCTCTCTATGTATATCGTATATCGTCGGAACCCCTGTCCGTCCGTCGGTCCATCCGTCAACATTTGCTTGTAAACGCTCTAAAATCTAGATTTTTTGATGGAATCAAATGAAATTCGGTATGTGTATACATATTCATAAAACGAAGATCAAGTTCGAATTTGAGCTATTTTCGACCATTATAAGCAGAGTTATTGCCCTTGCCCTAAAATCTTGAATATGCTATTACTCTCTTAGCTTTCAACCGATTTTGATGAAACGTAAAATGGACGTTTCGTTTTTACCATCCGCATGCCGTAGTGGGCGTATTTGGCTGTGGTCCACTATCTTTTGTTTTGCTTTTGCAACGAGTTTGACTGCACACAACACAATTGTAAACAGTGTGAGATTATAGTTGTATTTTATTATTGATTGTTGTTTTACTAACATGTAATATATCAGCACTGATCATCCACTTTGACTATTATGCATGGAAAGTCTCATCCTGAGAATATAAATTGAAACTCCATTAATTCTGAAAGATGGATGCACATCTTTTTGATACAAAATTTCTAAGAGCATTTTGCAGACATGAGATTGTTGTAGAAAAATGGTCGAATCAAAAATAGTTTACAATTGCAAGCTTTTCGAAGTTAATTTTATCATTTTGCAGTACCAGTAATTTAAAAAAAATACTAACTATTCTTAGTTCAAAAGGTTACTCTACGATATTATAAGTGGCTTTGATTTTAAACTTATATTTGAATTATTTATTAAGATGATGGGGACATACAAGATAAATGAGACTAAAAAATATAAGGTATTAGAAATTCTTTTACAGAGGGGAAATAATAATCCTTAACAGATAGCTATAATAATCTGTTAAACTATAAACAGTAATGCCAAGTCTAATATCATATTTCTAAAGACTTTGTTCACAGGTTTATAATATTAAACAGGGTTTTAAATTCTTGGATGAAATCATCAAAATATTTTGGAGTGTATATAGAGAAATGTTTGTATTTCTTGTTAATCTCTTTAAATGTAGATCTATATGTTCTGTTTCACGATTCCTTTGCTGATTACTATACTTTTCATCAAAGAAGTCATAATTAACTCTTAACCAATTAGGCAATACAGGTCAATGTTTCAACTTCAAAAATTCCTCAGAAGTTGTAAAAAAATTTCATTAAAGATAGCATGTGATTGGTTGAATATTTCAAAGACCCAGAACATGAGATGCATAAAAATTTAATCAGATCATGGATGACAAGTGAAGTCACCTGCCAAATGCAATTCACAAAAAAGCATGTAAATTCTGATTAAATTGATTTCCTGTGGAGTAAAAGATGATTGGAGTTGGCATGTCTTACTATATTAACAGTAGTTGTAGATTAGATATAATAATTAGAATATGATAATACCATTCATTTTGGAATATTCAGTACCTTAAACTCAAATCATGTACTTAAGACATTTCTTAGCACGCTCAGTGGAATCTGGACAGATCGACATCAGTAGATACTTTTGTTTGTTCGATGTTGATGAAGCATGCGATCTATGATACAATTTCATTGTTTTTAGTGATCTGTGGAATTAAAGTTTTTAACTCTAAAATTCATTACTGCTAGGGTTATAAACTGGTAAATTGACGTACATTTTTTTATGTATCACCATCTATATTAAAGGCCATGTTATTGTGCATATATTTGCTCCAAAATATTTGACTGGAATGCCACCAGTTATTGACTGAAATATCTTGAAATGAATATACAAATCTAATAGTGCTTAACTGCTTATTAATATCTTCATAATGGTGTTTGCACATTTATACATATATGTAGTATTTGTAGTTGAAACTATTTGGCATATGGGCACATTGATTTGAATAGCACTATACGAATGCACGCTAAGTTAAAATAGCACTTCAAAGGATACTATTATATGCACTATCTATATATTTTCAAATGTTCCTTTTTTTCACCTGTTCACAGGCTGTTCGTTGTATTGATAGAGAGGTTTGTTCATTTTACATCACCTTCTTTCACCATTTTTATTCATCACCTATCTATCCTATCTATTCACTGTCTATAAACATTACATAGTCTTTTTGTTGTTGTTTCCTGTATTTGTAAATGTAAGCTTTTTAAAAGTGGCAGAGCTTATTGATTTACAGATTTTTTGGGAAATTATATATTAAAAATTTAGATATTAGTGAACATTTTTTGAAAATTGCAATTTTTTGCCAAAATTATTGGTAAATAAATGTTGAGTTATGTTTTCCATGATGAAGATTTGATCCTCAGCAAACAAGCTAGCTTGCTATTGACTTATTTATCTTGAGAACTGACCTGATGTTTTATGATCATTTTTCTGTATATGGACTAGGACTTGTTAAATATTACTTGTTATATATAGTAAGAAATTAAAAGGGCATGTACTGTACTGTATGTTTATGTCCTGTAATTCATGTTGAATTAATTTTTTTTTAAATGCACCCTTTAAGTCATCCTTTCAGTTTGCTTTGAAATTTGTGAATTATTTTGTACAAATAAATACAAAGAAATTAATTTTCTAAATCTGATGTAGTGGAATAATGTGTGATTGTTATTGACATGTTTCATTACTTCTCAATAAAATGCATTTACTTTTATGAGGCAAATTGTTATATTTGTATTATATATATTTAATTCAATATGAGAAAATTTAATTTGAAAGTTTGTATTATTGAATGATATTAAGAGAGAATTTATGATCAAGTCACATGGAGAGAATAATGGAGATATTTCAGATTTTAAGAAAGTGTTTTTATTTAGGATATTTATTTTTAGGATACTCAGTCAGGTCTTGTCATCATAGATTTTATAGTTATAGTTGTTTTTAGGATGTTGTCTATTATCATTTTAAAAAGCTTGTAATTTACAAAAAATTCCATATCATGTCATATCTTTCTTCTATTTCAGAGTATGTTTGATATTGTTTATGAACTAGGTGGTAGTTTAAATATTAGAAATCGTCAAGGTTTGACACCATTAACACTAGCTGCTAAATTAGCTAGAAAAGATGTAAGTGTTATTTTATATTATCAGACACAACTTAAATTGATATGTTCAAAATTTTATACTTTTCTTCTTGTAGAAGAGTATTATCTTGTCTCTTCTAATGAGTTACAATACTTTTAATTCTCATACTATTGATTTCTTACCTGTAATGTCATTGTTCCAATTTTGATGGGAACATTTGGATGAAATGTGATTCAGTTTTGGGATTTGATCCCAGAAAAGATTGAGATTTAGATTATTCTGGTTTTTCTGTGCAGTAAAGGGGGCTAAAAGGTTTGACATGATTTAGTTGTTCAGATGGGACAATAAGTTGAGCTACAATGTTCACAGATCACGTTGGAAATTGAAAAAGAGCAGACTCAGGCTGGTTTCCTGGTGATTTATGGCTTTTCACTCTGACAACTTACATGAATTATATTACTTAATTGATCATTTGATGAAAAACCATCATTTCTTTCAGATGTATGAACATATTTTAGAGAAGGAGCGCAAGGAGTTTTGGAAGTATGGTAATGTAACATGTGCAGGCTATCCATTAGATCATATAGATACCATATCAACTGGGGGAGAAATCAACTTTAATTCAGCACTCAATCTTATTGTTTATGGGGTAAGTTTGTGAAACAGAATATATCTTCAGAACATTTGCAAATCTGAATAATTACTTTCAAATTGAAAAACAGGGTTTAATAGAATGCTCATTGAAATGACAGTTCATGATGTTGGACTAGAGAAAGGAAACCCTGTCATAAGAAAAGTGCAGTACCTAGCACCAATTTTGACAATTTGTGTTTGTAGTCAATCATTATTAAATCATTTTAAAGGGGCAGATCCATTCAAACCTTAGTCTCTGAAACAAACGTGAATTTTTAGCCACGCTAATAGTATTCAAAGCTCACGGTCGAAATTTGAACATTCATTTGAAAGCTAAAATGATATAATATATAGAACGTGGAATTTCTAGTTTAAAGTTTATTTGAAGACAATATTTGTGCAGTTGTTCTAAAGACTAGTTACATATGTTCAAGATCCAATTCAACCCAAAAGAAATTGGCAAACCATAGTAGGAGAACTGGTAGGATTTATTTATTTAGTATGGTTTGGGAGGCATAAGCCTAAATAGATTAAACAACCTGATAGTGTAACTGATGTTTTTACAGGAAGAACAGGGTCATATAGATATGATGGAAGGTTTAGTTGAAAATTTATTACGAGAAAAATGGAAAACTTTTATTCGCTACAGGTATATTATCCCAAATATAAACAATTATTAAAAATATAATCATAGAATATGAATGTTTTGAAAATAGAAGACATTTTACCAGTACAAAATAAACCTTGGAATTGAGAGGAGAAGCTGTGGTGGCTCAGTGAGTTAGACGCTTGCTCACTACCTGAAGGTCCAGGATTCCATCCGGGCAAAATTTCGACCCACTATCCCCAAGTCAGTGATGCAATATGGAGGGGCTCAAATAAGGACAAAAACCAAGGCCCATGAATAATCAGGCTGTGCATAAAGATCTGTCTTAAATCTACAGTTCTACAGTCAGTCACTCAGAAGCACCTATGCAACTAGGTTAGTTAACCTGGAATCAGAAATCCATATTGCTAATAAGTAATAATTTTTATGAATGATTAGTTTTAATTAAACTACATGGATATTCGTTTGTTCAGACAGGAACAAATTTTATCCACATCAAATTAGAAAAATGGTACTGTGTAAAATGAATTTTGAATGGTTACCGTACATTATTTTTACATTCTATTTGTTGCAGGTTTTACCGACGATTTATAGTATTTTCTCTCTATTTTCTGGCATTTACTGCTGCATTTTTCTTGAGGCCAGGAAAAGATTTATGTTTGATTGCTACCAATACAACTAATATAAATTATTGTGATATACATGCTGAAAATAGAACCATGGACCCTTGTTATTTATTGGTTCCCTATCGTAATGAAGATATCGTGAGTTCATATTTATTCAAATCTTGACTACTTTACTTATGAACATTTGCCATATTTACAAGAACAACGCATCATCATATCTGTATTATTTAAATTCTCTAAACCTCATCAGACATTATCAGGTATTTGAAAAGTAAAATTTGATTGTATTGTCTTTGTCACATACAGATCAGTTAAAAACAAACCAAGGCCAAGTTGAGCCACAAAATAGTGAGGAGATAAAATTGTATTTTTGATTCAAGATTAGATTGGCCGCTCTCTATTGCACAAGCATAAACTCACCCCTGCTCTCTAAAATTTAAATATCTTATGGTTTCTATTTCAGGTAAGATTAACATTAGAGGTGTGTGTATTAGTAGCTGCTATAGTGTATATTTTATTATCTATGAGAGAAATCAAACATCAAGGTTTTAAATGTTTCTTTAATACTTTAGTAAGTATCTATATTTTTGTTATAGGACTATGTTTATCAAGCCAAATAGAAATTTTGTTTTATTCTCAAATTCATGAGTTATCTCAATGACATTCAAAAGAGAGTTTCTATCCTTTGTTTGTGTTTCAGATACACTAATATCTATTATTTACAGCATTTCATTTCTTAAAGCTTTGAATATTCCTGTTACTAGATCATATTTTAAAAATTGCACCATAAAATTTTTTGCCTCCCTTTAATATAAAAACCTCTTTATAAGGTTACAAATACATGTGCATAAAACATTTCAATGTTGTAAATGTCAAATAGAATTACAAACTAACTCAAGGTTTTATTGTAATTTCTTCAAAAGGTCAGGTTATTAATTAAAACAGATTCAACTCAATTATTCTGTAAACTATATTTCAGACAGGAGCCCCAGCTAAGGCGTTGTTTTTATTATCCTGTATATTTGTATTGTTGATGTTACCAGGAAGAGCATCGTGTTCACATCAGTATGAAGATTATATGGCAGTATTTGCTATACTCTGTACAGCGCCATATTTTCTATTTTTCTGTCGGTATGTATATATTGATTTTATCCTCAAGATTTATCACAACTTCAATAGAATTTATAATTCCTTCCTTTCTTGAAATTTTCTTTCAGTTTATTTCAATGATGGGTGACAGGTCTGAATGCAAATTCATTTTTTTTGTTAATTTTCAGAGGTTTTCGCACTGTTGGTCCGTTTGTTGTTATGATCTATAAAATGATCAAAGGAGATTTACTTCGTTTTGTTATTATTTATGTTATTTTTCTCATTGGATTTTCACAAGGTAAGTTTTAGTAATTATGTACAAAGGGAAAATTGGATGGAGTTCTATATTATATCAAAAAGTCATGACTTCTATTGAAAATTTTAAGTAGCTCAATCCTCACTCCTCCTTATTGAGTCTTGAATCATCTGAAACTTTCATTAAGATTTATTCTCCTATTGCATTAATTTCTATCATGCTCACACTCTGACAATTACAAACATATATAGATAGTATGTCAACTCAGTGATGTGGTTTGGGCATTGTCCTGTCTCAAATTATCTAATGGACCAACAACAAATTTTATTTCTTTAATTTTGTTTGCTTTCAGCCATGTTTATAGTGTTTCGTGAGGTTGAAAATAGTCCCTTTAATAGTATAGGTGAATCTATTGTTGCTATGTTTGTCATGTCAGTTGGACAGTTTGCAGATTTCTATGATTCACTAATAGAATCTAAACATATGATCATGGGCAGAGTATGATTACGTTTTAAGTTGAAACCAATATCACCTCTATATACTAACCTTCTAACCTAAAAATATTAGCCTTTTAATTACTGTTGGTGGATTAAGAGGCATTTTATAAACAGCATGAATGATTGTTAGGGGAATTGCTAATTTAAACATTTTACTACTAGTAGGCTCAAACATAGAATTCTTTAAAAGACAATTGTCAACATATTTTTTCACCAGCTGTTTTTCATAGCTCTATTAGAGTAGCTGTATCAGGTTTGGTTCTCTCTTATTTCAACAATGTAGGGTGAAATGTTTCTCATGTGCAGTTTTACCAATGACATCATAATATTGATAATATTTGCATATGTAAATATGTTTATCATTAGATTACTAATTTTTGGATTTAATGATATATAATCGATATTATGTAACTGCTGACTTTTAGTAACAAACTTTCAAAAAGCTAAAAAAAAAAATAACTCTACAGAATTACCAGTACAATTCCCTTGACAATATAAAAACTTTCATACTTTGCCTTGTTTGTTTGTTAATTGTTGTATTAACCAATGACTAACCTGAATACAGCATTAAACAATTAACCCAACCTTTGTCTAATCCATAATAGATCCAGCTTTGCTAGACTTAGCTTCATTGATATATAGAAATTTAGAAGTCTGATTAGATTAGAGCTAGTAGAAAGGAGATAGAAGTTGTTTTGAATTTTATCAATTTCAGCCATGTTTATTCAATTCCGCCATCTTGATAATGTTTTTGCGGACCCTGCTGAATCAATATTAGCTATGTTTACTATGTCCGCTGGACAATTTGAAGATTTTTATGATCATTTTGATGAATTAGAGCCTGGCTTTAGTGCCCTAGTGAAAGTAAGTCCTGCATACCTAAAACCTACACCAGTAGTATCTTACAATTTATCCTAATTTACCTACAATCTGATTATATATACATCTTCAATTTTGTTTCTTTTTTTTCCCTCGGTTCTTTTGTACGTCTTTTATAGTGTTTTAATTGGTTAAAATGAAGAATGATCCAAACAAAAAAGGATATTGTCATCTAAATCTTTCCTTATTTCAGCTATGCATATTCCTTTCAAAATGGAATTATGATGTATGCTTCTACTTCAATTCAACTGAAGCTTACTTCAGACTGAGAGAGTATAAACACTCTGGACGTATACCCATGTTTTATGAATATTTTTTAATTACTTGGAAATTGACTTTCTGATATTCTGAAAAGTGCTATGCATAGCTAAAAATGAGCTCAAACAGCTGCTGAAGCAAATATTTACAAGACCTTAATGAGACCACAATGATATCTTGAGCTGTATTTTAATCAAATTGCTTACCCTTGCTTTTAGATAGAACAGAAACTTTAGTTGTTGAATAACTGTATAAATCTTTCATGTAGAATTATTGAGAATAATCTAATTGTAATACAAATCACAAATATTATTGAGTTATTGCACTTTAAACACATAATAATTTTATTGATAGATTTATTATTTCTTCTTGTAAAATATTATAAAAAAGTCACAAATGAGCACCATCTTTGTATGTTATTAGCACTATAAACAGCTTGCCTATTTTTACACAATATTTGACTAATCTTTAACAGCTATTTATTTTCTAATTTATTTCATTTTCATTATCTTTATTCACATTATAGTCTTTGAAAAGGAAACAAAATTATGGGGTTTTACATTCCGTATGATGCATCTTAGGGAAATTTATTGGCATTTTATATACTATCATTTATCACCTTATGCGATCCAAAAATAATTTTCCTCTCCTGTGCGATTTTTGATTTTGCATTTTTATAATTTAAAGGGATTGTTAAGAGGTTTTCTAAAAATTGTATGTATATTACATCACTATTGCAAATTATTTGCAGCTTTTACTTTAGTTGTTCTTGGATGATTTTCAAATATGGGATCAAAATAATTTTGGGCCCTAAAAACTATTGGGAAAAATAGATAATGGGCACAATTTGCATCAGCATCTTAAAATACAATTTTTAGGAAAAGAATTTTCTTATTAATATCTACCTAGATATTGCTTGATTTTAGCAATTATTGTATTCTACAGATAATATTTATGGTGTATATGGTATTAGTAACATTATTATTAGTCAATATGTTAATTGCTATGATGGGAAATACATATCAACTTATTGCTAGTACAGAAAAAGAATGGTTAAGACAGGTATGAATTTACTGGATGAATAATATTACAACAATTATGTATATCTTAGCGAAAGTCGTAATTTGACAATCAGTCTCTCAGACTCTAGATTGTACCTTCAAAAATTTCCAACATCAGTCCTCCACTAATTAAGGGCTTGACAATAAACTATAGCTTTGTGCTACAGACTGAACACTTGTCACATTTGTTCATACCACATCATTTAATTGTCAAGTTTGTAGTAAACACTGGAATCCATTTGTTTAAATATTTGTTGTACAATTCCTTCATAATTGTTGATATGTCATTCGATAACAAAGACATATTGAAATATTTCAGTGGGCAAAGATTGTACTAGTAGTAGAACAAAGTGTCAGTGAGGAGAAAAGATTGTTAAAACAGAAATTGTATTCTGAACCAAGTTCCTCTGTACCCAATGGCCGTGTATTAGTTGTACGTTCACATCAAACGGTATGTTTCATTGTCATTCTCCATTATACTGTCAAAATTTGTTGAACCTATAAAAAATACCTCTCAAAATATCTTGAACCTGTATTACCTCTCAAAATATCTTGAACCTATAGTACCTCTCAAAATATCTTGAACCCATATTTCATCTCAAAATATCTTGAACCCATATTTCATCTCAAAATATCTTGAACCCATATTTCATCCATATTTCATCTCAAAATATCTTGAACCTATATTTCAGCTCAAAATATCTTGAACCTATATTACATCTCAAAATATCTTGAACCTATATTACCTGTCAAAATATCTTGAACCTATATTACATCTCAAAATATCTTGAACCTATATTACATCTCAAAATATCTTGAACCTATATTACCTGTCAAAATATCGTGAACCTATATTACCTGTCAAAGTATCTTGAACCTGTAAAATACCTCTCAAAATATCTTGAACAAATATTACATCTCATAATATCTTGAACCCATATTTCATATCTAAATATCTTGAACCTATATTACATCTCAAAATATCTTGAACTTATATTTCATTTCAAAATATCTTGAACTTATATTACCTCTCAAAATATCTTGAACTTATATTACATCTCAAAATATCTTAAACCTATATTTCATCTCAAAATACCTTGAACCTATATTTCATCTCAAAATACCTTGAACCTGAATTACTTGTCAAAATATCTTGAACCTATATTACATCTCAATATATCTTGAACCTGAATTACCTGTCAAAATATCTTGAACCTATATTACATCTCAAAATATCTTGAACTTATATTGCATCTCAAAATGTCTTGAACCTATATTACATCTCAAAATATCTTGAACTTATATTGCATCTCAAAATGTCTTGAACCTATATTTCAACTCAAAATATCTTGAACCTGAATTACTTGTCAAAATATCTTGAACCTATATTTCATCTCAATATATCTTGAACCTGAATTACCTGTCAAAATATCTGGAACCTATATTACATCTCAAAATATCTTGAACTTATATTGCATCTCAAAATGTCTTGAACCTATATTACATCTCAAAATATCTTGCACTTATATTACATCTCAAAATATCTTGAACTTATATTACATCTCAAAATATCTTGAACTTATATTACATTTCAAAATATCTTGAACCTATAAAATACCTCTCAAAATATCTTGAACCTATATAATACCTCTCAAAATATCTTGAACCTATAAAATACCTCTCAAAATATCTTGAACCTATATAATACCTCTCAAAATATCTTGAACCTATAAAATACCTCTCAAAGTATCTTGAACCTATATAATACCTCTCAAAATATCTTGAACCTATAAAATACCTCTCAAAATATCTTGAACTTATATAATACCTCTCAAAATATCTTGAACCTATAAAATACCTCTCAAAATATCTTGAACTTATATTACATCTCCAAATATCTTGAACCTATATTACATTTCAAAATATCTTGAACCTATAAAATACCTCTCAAAATATCTTGAACCTATATAATACCTCTCAAAATATCTTGAACCTATAAAATACCTCTCAAAATATCTTGAACCTATATAATACCTCTCAAAATATCTTGAACCTATAAAATACCTCTCAAAATATCTTGAACCTATATAATACCTCTCAAAATATCTTGAACCTATAAAATACCTCTCAAAATATCTTGAACTTATATTACATCTCCAAATATCTTGAACCTATAAAATACCTCTCAAAGTATCTTGAACTTATATTATATCTCAAAATATCTTGAACCTATAAAATACCTATCAAAGTATCTTGCACTTACATTATATCTCAAAATATCTGGATCTTAATTTACCTTTTAAAATATCTTGATTTCTTATGTTTTATAATAGTTTAAAGATAAATATTTGTTTATTTTTAGGATAAGGACAGAGAAGAAGAAGAAAGACTGAGACAATTCCACAAGCAACAACAGAAAAAGAAGAAAAAGAAGATTAAAATCAGACAAATTTCTTCACCTCAGTTATTCAGTGAATCTGATGCTGCTGTTGGGAAAATTAATATTTAATGTCTTTTGAAATAATATTTTCATATTTGTTCAGACAGACAATCCTGCCAAAACAAATTTTTTAGTTGTATTTTTATTTATTTCTAACTGTGATACAATTACTGAATTGTTACTTTGGACGCTCCATTAACAAGTTTTATCAAGTTAAATGGATAGTTTTATAGATCTTTTCATAGAAACAAGCGTGCACCATACATTTTGTCTTTGATCACAAAAAGAAAGCACGAAACTCTGTGATCCTGAAACTGTTAGTTTAATGAAATTTTATTTGAAATGAAACAGACTTCAATTATATTTTAAAGAATAAATTGATATAATGTTTACATAGCCTAATCAATCATTAACATTGTATAAATTCTTCACTGTAACATAACACAGTGGCGTCAGCTATAAAAACACTATATACATCGGCTACCTGTACTCGCGTGTTGCTTGAACTTCTCATATAAAAATTCTGATATAAGCAGTAATATGATGTTACTACACTCAATAATCAAAGTAAGAGGTTTAGTCAAATATTTAATATATTTTTATCACATAATGTATCAAAATTTATGCTAACTAATCAAAAACAATATTAAACATTGGATGACTGTACAGTGGTTGAAAATTATTGTGACCTGAAATGAAAATAGTGGTGCACAACACTTCCTCTAATAATGGATGGCAAGTGACAATAATACACAAAATTAAAGATCTAGATTGCATTTAAACCATATTTTACTGTTACTTTTCATACTGATACAGGCAGTGCTTCTATTTGATAAATATACAGGTATCGTAGTTAGGATTGAAGATTAGAATCGTGTTTCCAAACTTCTTAGTCATACAGACAATATCTTGTGTTCAAAATTACAAGTGTATCGAAAACCTTAAAACATCTGCATTCCCCACTTTATCAATTTAAGAGAAAATTTTATCCTCGATTCAATCCACAATTGTATTAACACTTTCTAAAAATACTTTACTGACTAATAGAGCACAGTTTCAGCTATCCCAATATCTTTAAAAAATTCCTTTAGTAGAACCGCTTTTATCGAAATATGGGGCTCTTAAGTCTGGCAAACCAAGAATTTCTCTTAAATCTTGCTTTGTATCATTTGTATTTGTTGACCCTGCCTTATATCACTTTCTACAGTTCATGCAAATTACATCATATACAAAATAATGCTAAAACAGAAATGATTATAAGATAATGAACTCTTTTGCCGTCACCAGAAGAAGGACAGACATCAGATGGTCCTTGCAATACTTTATCTAAACACTTATTCCAATATAACACCTCTCTCTCTCTATAATTCCGATCAAGTGTGATATAAACATGTTCATTAGAACTATTAATTCGGAAGAATGCTTTCTCACTTGATGTATATGTTGGAATTGAAACATCAGACTCTTTGATAGATGGTTTACTGAAATAACAATAAGGTCATTCACATATTACATATAATTCACTAATGATCATTTAATGGCAAATTCTTATGTAATTCTTAATGTTCAACACCACCAGGAAGCTTTAGCAATAGTTCACGAACACCATTCATATCTTCAGCTGTAGGTCTTACAATTCCACTAAAACTAATCACTTTGTGATAAAGTTTATCTTCATGATTGGAAGACTCCAAAAGAAATAGTTATACCTACCCATTTTTAACAAATGATGAAAACATTTGAATATATGAATTACTGACAATCCTGTCTTCATTGTTATAACCTAAATGGTGATGACCAATAAATGGCGAACCAAAGAAGTAGAATAAATCTTCTCCATGTGGTACTCCTGAAAAGTAGATGTTTTGATCACAAATAATTTAATGGGCATTTCGTGAAATGTTTGAAAGTTATCTTTCATGAGGATCGTATGCTTAGAAAACGGATTATAACGTCTGTTTACCTTAGCCACAAGAAAATATTTACTAGGGTGTGTGATTCTTACCATTTTCTGATCCGGTGGAATTTTCTGACCTGTGATCAAATCTATAAAAGTATAATGTTTCACCAAGACTGGCTATCGCATCAGCTACATTGATGGCTGGGATGTTAAAAACAAAATCTCCTATCATCTAAAAAAAAAAAAAAAGTTAAAAACGTCAAATAACATGGACATTATAGGTTCTGTGTTTCTTAGAATAACAAAAACACTCTTGACTGAAATGTCACTCTCATTACTTACTGATGATATGTTTACATTAATTTGTCAAATAGAACTTACGTGTCCAATTCTTTCAGCAGCATTTTCAGAATTATTTGCCTTTACATCAGAAAAATACACCTTTTCTAAAATATCTAAAAAAAAAAAAAAAAAAAATACAAAACTACTTGTTTTCGATGAGCATATACAAAAAAGGTACTAACGGTCCATGGTACTATTCTAATTTAAGTATTAAAAAAAATAAAAGAATAGAAAATAAAGATAATAAAAATTATAAAAGGTGTAAAGATCATAGAAAGTATAAAGATAATAGAAAATATAAAAAGTATAAAGATAATAGAAAATAGAAAGATAATAGAAAGTATAAAGATAATAGAAAATATAGAAAGTATAAAGACAATAGAAAATAGAAAGATAATAGAAAGTATAAAGATAACAGCAAGTATAAAGATAATATAAAGTATCAAGATAATATAAGGTATAATTAATAGCAAGTATCAAGATAATAGATAGGATCAAGATAATATAAGGTATAAAGATAATAGCAAGTATAAAGATATTAGAAAGTATCAAGATAAGATAACAGGAAGTATAAAGATAATGGAAAGTAAAAGATAATTTAAAAAAAGATAAAAAGATTTGAATCTTTTATGATTATTTATTCACCTATGCTGTAAGTATCGAACTGTTTTGGTAGAGGAGTGAAAAATAAATTCTCTTTGATTAATTCTCTTATATCAGGAGAGTTTACGATGTTTGCCGCCCATGAACCTTCTAGAGATGTTAGACCTATCATATAGGAGTCACCATTTAGTTTACCGCTATTCAAAAGATATCTTGGGTCATCTGGTAGGAATTCATCACCAATATTTACTCCGAATTGGAAATACCTGTCGGATCTACTATGGACCTGAATGGGAAAAAATAAAATAGTAACAAAATCTGTCTCTATTCCAGCCTCTGATAGCTATTTGGACAGATGTCAGCTGGCGTAGAGACAGAAAAAATAAACCCTGTTATATGTGAACATTCCGCATCTCCACAGTTGCAGGGGTTTTAAACCTATTAGGTACCTCGGATCTGCAAAACCCAGGTATATTTGGAAATATGAATATTTTTGTAGTTCAGTCATACCATCATTTTCTCCTACAGCATTTATGTTATGTCTCCGGTTCCATCAAAGTTTTTTTTTGGGCGAAACTGATCTAGCATCGGCCATTTAAGACAGTGTGCGCAGCCAAAAGTTCAAGTTTTGGCTACAAAAGGTATTGGATCAAAGGCAGATCCATATCAAAATGAATTATCAATGTTTAAAACGTATATAAAAAGTACAAACTACTTTATTCGTCAATATTTTGGAATCGGTATTCTTTAAACAATCTTTCATTGTGGACACATCATTCGTGATATCAAAACAACCTGCAGCATTAGCAAAATCTGAAAAGTTTTCGTCGATAAAGGTGGTATTTTCCTCAACACACCAGTAAGCCAGTGGTGAACCACTCATCATTACAGCGTAACGAAATAAACCTGAAGAAAAAAAAAATAATAGGCCTATTAAATGTTTTAATCGAAATTCAATTCATATGAACAGATGGTCTTAATTCCACTTAAGGAACAGAACATTGATTTTTGGTATTTTATTCGAATGAAGTAAATACATCCATTTCATAAACTCTTTTTATTCATTTTAAATATAAACCTTATTAGCAGAAATATATGGAGAAATAACGTACGTATGTACTAAGTTAATTACCTTTACAAAATATACAATATAGAAACGTGCCTTTACTAAGACGGGATATAATAATATGAACTTACCTTTACTAAATGTAGATATCATATATAAACTTACCTTTAACAAGTCGAGATGTAAAATATAAACTGACATTACCAAGAGAAGATATGATATATACCTTAACTAGGTGGAGATATAAAGTATATTAACATACATTTACTGAGTGAAGATAAACTTAACTTTACTAAGAGGAAATATAAAATATAAACTAAGAGGAGATATGAAACAGAAACCCGCCTTTTAAAAGTGGGGATATCAAATATAGACTTGCCTTTACTGAGAAGAGATATAAAATATAGACTTGCATTGCCTTACTACTTAACATTAACTTACATTTATTGAGTGAAGAAATAAAATATAAAGTCGCCTTAACTAAGTGGAAATATAAAATATTAACATACATTTACTGAGTGAGGATATAAAATATTAACTTACCTTTACGAAGTGAAGATATGAAACATAAACTTACCTTTTCTAGGTGGAGATATAATATATAAACTTATCCTTACTAAGTGGGGATATAATATGTAAACTTACCTTTACTAAGTGGAGATATAATATGTAAACTTACCTTTACTAAGTGGAGATATAATATGTAAACTTACCTTTACTAAGTGGAGATATAATATACCTTCACAAAATGGAGATATAATATATATAAACTGATATTTACTAAGTGTAGATATAATAAATAAACTTATCTTTTCTAAGTAGAGATATGAAATATAAACTCGCCTTTGCTAAGAGGAGATATGAAATATAAACTTATCTTTACTAAGTTCAGTTAAAAAATATAAACTCCTTTACTAAGAGGAGATATGGAATATATAATCGCCTTTACCAAGTGGAGATATAAAATATAAACTCTCCTTTACTAAGTGGAGATATAATATGTAAACGTACCTTACTAAATGGAGATATGATATGTAAACTTACCTCTACTAAATGGAGATATACTATATAAACTTATATTTAATAAGTGGGGATTTGTGAGTGAAGATGTAAATCATAAATCTACCTTTACTAAGTGGAGATACAATATGTAAACGTGCCTTTACTGAGTGTGGATATAATATATAAGCTTACCTTTACTAAGTGGAGATATGAAATATAACTTTCTAAGTGGAGATATAATCAACTTGTCTTAACTGAGAAAACGCTGATATACTTAATTACAGTAAGTAGAGATATAGTTTATGTATACAAACTTACCTTTACTAAGTGGAGATACAGCATGTAAACTTACCATTACTTAGAGGAGATATAAGATATCAAATTACCTTTACTGAGAGAAGATAGATATACGTACCTACAGTGATTGGAAATATAATAGATAAACATACCTTTACTGAGAGGGTATAATACATAAACATACCTTTACTTAGTGTAGATATAATATGTAAACTTACTTTTACTAAATGGAGATATAATACATAAACATACTGAGTGGAGACTTAATATATAAACTTACCTTTACTTAGAGGAGATATAATATATAAACTCACCTTTACTTAGAGGAGATAGATATACGTACCTACATTAAGTGGAAATATAAAAGATAAACATACCTTTACTGAGTGGGTATAATACATAAAACAGTGGGTGCAGATATAATTTGCAGACTTACTTTTACTAAATGGAGATATAATACATAAACATACCTTTACTAAGTGTAGATATAATATGTAGATTTACTTTTACTAAATGGAGATATAATACATAAACATACCTTTACTGAGTGAAGACTTAATACATAAACATACCTTTACTAAGTGTAGATATAATATGTAGATTTACTTTTACTAAATGGAAATATAATACATAAACATACCTTTACTGAGTGAAGACTTAATATATAAACGTACCTTTACTAAGTGGAGATAAAATATGTAAACCAACATCACAACCTCCAGCACTATGACCAGTTATGGTGACCTTATTTCTATCTCCACCAAAATAATGAATGTTTTCTTGAACCCAACTTAAGGCTTTCACTTGGTCGGTCATACCATAATTTCCAGGAAATATTTTTGAGTTGGAACCAAAGAAACCTTACAAGGAAATTCAAAGTGATTCCGCTCATTAATACAATGCATTAGAATTACTATCCTTTGTGTTTCTCATATAAGTTTTTTTTTTATTTAAATTAGAAATTGATTTTTAACTGTCGAAAACATGATTTTCTACTGCATATTTTAAAGCTGGTGATACTATTTCTATTTTTACGAGTCTACATTAAATTCTCGATGCTGTGGCACATATTTATCTTAATCAGCCATCGTAACAAAATATCTAAAAAAGCATATTTTAAATTATAAAGAATGCAAAAATATAGAATTATTAGAATATTTCTAACTTATATACTATTGTTCGAGATAGGTGTTAAAACTATGGATAAAATGTATATTTTGTCGAAGTTTATTAGTTCTGGCTAACATGTAAATACACATATCAAGGATAAGCTCTTACCAAAGACCCCAAGCCTATAGTTAAAGGTAACAACTATAACATCCGCTTTCACCGCTAAAACATCACCATGTAACATACCTCCCATTCCATAACCATTAGAACCACCATGAATATGGAACAAAACATTTTTCGTCTGGTTTCTCTACATGAAAGCAAGAAAAGAGACAATGTACGGGAATCAGTGGTGCCAACTATCATCAAAACCATCCTGAAAACTCACATTAAATTTGATGGGTTGAAAATCGCGATTATAATGGACCGAGGCAGGTTTGATGGATTGAAATATCGACTAGTAGCATCAACAACTTTGTTATGAAGTATAACAATCAGCAATGATACCGTCTCCAATACTTCCATTTTCACAATGTCAAGCTATTACAAATTGTTACTAATACTTTGACTGCAATAGCAACCTTTCTTGTATCAAGTTTGTAAATGCAGCGATTTGGTTGGATTGTACGTTAGCGAATACAGCCAATCAGAGTTATTCAACATTTTCAACAGAAAATCTGTAAACATGAAAGGTGGCAGTCGAGGTATTAGACGAAGTTCGTAATAAGTTGACATTGTGAAGATGCAATATTGCATACAGAAAGTGTAATATAAATAATACAACTTGATTAGTGCTTTAGAAGCTTATTTCTTACTTGTTGATGGACAGGTACATATATATTGATATATAAACAATCTTCACTTTGTCTTCTAAAGTTTGGATAATGTTGATCTAGATATCGATTAATACCATAACGTTGATAACATGCGGGAGGAAGTCTTGTGGTTTCTATAATTTTATCACCCCAAGGCACTGGGTCTTTAGCATGCTATAGGCAAAATTTAAAAATAGGTAGATAAGTAGAAACTTGATTGAAATGCAGATATAGATGTTTTGTTATGTGTTGTTTACGCTTGCCATCCATGATCAGACCATGATGTAATGCATCATATATTCTAGGCTAGGGAAATATTGGACGAATCAACTCTGCTCAACAACAGATTTGAAATTTGATGTGATAAATTTGGGCATATTCATTTTTGGACATTTACTTGTTTGTCGGCACACTTTAAAATGTACTTTGATTTACTTTGTACTTTTACCTTTGAAGCTAAGTGGGAAAAATTCCACTAAACACGATTACAAAATGAATTTCATGAGATCTTGAATAGACAGTGAAGTAAAGAAAGAAAAAAACACCAAACAAAACATTTAGACCTACATAATTCAATGTATCACTCTTATATCAATAAAACTGATAAAAATCTTACTCGTAATTATTCAAGTTTACATGTTCAAATTAATAACTATCTTTATTATAACAATAATACATTTAACCCACACAATTTAATTATTTACAATTTCAATATAGAAATTACTTACAATTACTGATATCTTCAACATTTCCTGTACAATTACTTGGCTCTTTATTGCGAGTAATTAATATGAAATACTTATAGAATACCAATTTAATTATGGAAAGTTAATTAACATCACGCATGATGATATTAGATAAGATCTGAATATTTGAAATTATAAACAGCGTGTTATTAAGATACACTAATCAACTAACTTCAACATTTATCACAAACACATTTAAAAGATTGAAACACTTACCTCAAATCGATATTGGTCAATTGGTGGTCTGGCATAAGGCACTCCTAAATATCTCTCTACTTTTCCCACATCTTTAATATTGTTTATATATCCTTTTATTTTGCCATATTTTGTTTCCCTTAGTTTATATTCCCGAGAAATTGAATAAATAAGAGGACAAAGAAATGAAAATGTAATATACACATATAAGCATTCCAATTTCATAATTGTTTTCCATAAACAACAATACTGAACAGTATATCATCAGAAGGTGTAAGTAAACTGCTTCAGAAAGAATGTATTTATTCACGCTGGGAAAAAGATATATTATTATATATCTCTACAAAAAGCCTCCGTATTTACTTTTTCTATACAAAAAGGTATTAAAAGGAAAAAAATATTTCCTGTTATGAAAGAAATTGCATGATATTTTCGGCAAATTCCATAAATTTCTGCTTATCAGATGTGAGGCATTTTTTCATAAATATGTTTGTCATTTAACTATAAGGTCTAGTGTTGGAGATTAGGAATCTTTAAATCTGTAAATATCGTTACCAGTCGAAACACTGCTAGCTTCATTAAACAATATTTGATTGAATGATGAAAGAAGGAGATGTAAAAAGAAATAAATCTATCGTTAAATTAGAAAGTAGCGTATCTCCGGGTAATCAGTCTCAGATGTCTTTCAAAAAGATTGGCGAGAAAAAATCGACATTTTCTTAAAGAACTTACTCATGGTTTACATATTATTATCTCAAGTATATTTCAATTATCTTTTCATAAGATTCAAGGTGTTAACCGACTTTCCATAAAAAATTTAATTGGGAATTTAGAATTTAGTTGTATAATACCATCTCGCGTGCTGGTATGTTTGATGCTTAATTCATATTCCAACGAATTTGAATACTCCATTCTGTAAAACCGCGTAGTTTGTTCTTCCTTACTTATACTACTACAACGTCTTTAAATTGCATCAGAGATGAAATGGAGCTTGACGTCCTACTATTCTGCATCTAATACTAGACGTTATAAGAGCAGAAGTTGAAGTTTACACTTATTGGTATATCTAAAATGTTTCCCATCGTCATTACATTTTGAAAACCACGCCTAATTCACACTCAGATTATTAGACTATCAGTCATTAGAACATTTTAGAGTCACTCACCGTGAAAGATAACAATTCATTCCATACTATTTTATTTGAAATACAAACAGCCAAAAACAGAAGGCCTGGCATTCGGCTGATTTAATCATAAACAAAGTTTCTCTTTAAACCACTAGATGTACCTTGTTGTTTTTATAAGCCAATTTATTTGTTATGGAATGCCACGAACCTGACACAAGTAATTTGAGCTTCAGGTAATTTCTTGGTATTTATTTTTTCATGGATACTAGAACCAGCCAAAATTCCAAAAACTAAATAAAGAAAACAAAAATTAAAAGCGTTAACAGGCATGTTGGTCATTCGGTATTGAATAAAATTTGCTTTGATCATTAAAAATTTCACATGAAATCTATTGTATCAAATATCATATTTCATATTATCACTTTTTCAGTATAAAATATTGAAATGGAAATAAGATATGCAGTGCCCATACACATCACTGAGTAAAGTTTCTTATTGTCTGAATTTTCATCAGATCGTGGTATATAGCTAGACTTATTTATGAAAAAAATCTAACTTTAGGAATCCTTATATGATTGTCTCCCTTGACAAGATTGACTATCGATTCTTCATCAGTCCTTTAGAATTGTAATTAATTGTCTCCCTTGAAAATACTAAGCAACAATTCTTCATCAATACTGCTATAGATGTTGTAAATTCCCTTGAAAAGATTGCATACAATTTTTCATGAATACTGTTTTAATTGTGATACATTGTTTCCCTTGAAAAGATTTACCAACAATTTTCACCAATACTGCTATAGATCTTAAAAAATTGTCTCCCTTGAAAAGATTGACAATCAAATTGTAATGAATTGTCTCCCTTGAAAAGATTTACTAACAATTTTCATCCATACTGCTATCGATCTAATAAATTGTCTCCATTGAAAAGACTGAATTACAATTTTTCATTAATACTGTTTTGATTGGGATAAGTTGTCTCCCTTGAAAAGATTGACAATCAATTATTCACAAATCATTTCAGAATTGTAATGAATTGTTTCCCTTGAAAAGAGTTACCAACAATTTCATAAATACTGCTATAGATGTAATAAATTGTCTCCCTTGAAAAGATTGACTATCAATTTTTCATTTAGTTTTAACCAACGCGTGATTTGCAAGATTTTATTAGTTTTATTACATTCCATGGAAATACCTGATTTATTAATTCTACTTGCAAACCTTCATCAAACATACTCTTGGTAATAGAGTTCCTTTAAGCCAACGTTAAATGCATCACGTTTTCTTCACACACTGACGACTCTGAGATAACGACAAATGTAGAAATCATATTTTGCCAAAATGGAAGCATTAATTGTTAATTGCATTTCAATTGTTAGTATTTCACATTGATTTTTCGAACAACTACAATGTGGGCATATTTCAAGATTTTTTTAATATTTCTCGTTCTGAAAACATAAAAAAGGCTAAACGAGGAGAAAATTCTTTCAGATACTGAATTCATCTAATCTAATTTGACGTAATTAGTGTTGCATCAGACATTCTGAGATATCTCTGTTATACATCAACTAGGTTGTTAAAATTAATGATATCGCAAGTCTATGTAAAACTCGGGTCCTTATTGCTAGACTGAATTTTAAGAGGCATGTTGAATTAACTTACTTAAATGGAGCCGTGACAAAATAGAGAGTTAAGTAATGGTAAGTAGCCACTGGAACTATATAATCAGAAAACCAAATGAGTTACTTATTATGTAAACCTTGTGTAGTCCCGTGGCGAAACTGTTGCAACAAAGATGGCATGATGTCCACTCAAAGACGAACAGCGATAAGACATCCGACGCTATGAAAATGATGCTCCTAGAGTTGACCCTGATAAATCGACATGTTATGTTGTTTTATTAAGTCTTGCATCAGTAGGTCCTTAAATGACCAGTGCGTCATTTTCTATATTCAAAGAGCTGATTAACATAAACGTCGTAAATTTGGGAGCTGCCTAAATTCAATTGGACAGTCACAAAATGTACTTCTTCAAACCACCACAGTTGGCTATTACCAGGCCACTGTTGTGTCGCTATAGAATAAACACTAACAATAACCAGGGGGGTTTTCCATCCGTTCTTCGTGTCAGATACATGTTGGCATAATTCTTGCTATAATCTTTATTCTTTCAAGAAAACAGCTCTCTGATAGTCTCCAGGTAGTTTTCCAATGATACAATGCTCAGGTATTACTTTAGATGCCAACAATTTGGCTCAGAAGATGTCTAGACTGTCTATAGGACATGCTTATGTTATCTACAATCATAATTTAGAATGGATGGCATATGTTGTTCATTTGGGATAAACAGATCCCACTTTATTTTTGAAACAGCAGTGTTTATCACGATAAAACATTTCATGAGAATCTATAGAATTAGTAACAACCCGCATCAGTGCAAATTTGCAAATACTAACATTCTAGATCATATTTAAAGCACTGTATGAACTCAGATTTAACGATATCTACCTCTTAATAACCATTGCATACTCTATAGTAGAACTAACTGGGTTATAAAAACATCATACCAATTTTATAATGATGTACCAGAAGGGAATATCATAAAATTGGAAAAGTGATATCATAAATGATACATGTGCAAGTAATATCTATATGTCAAAGTGTGGACTAACTGAATAATTTGTCCTCGGTTTACATTGTCAGAATGTTTCAATGTTAAATGATTCCTAGACGGTTTTAAAAATGTTTTTGTATGGTTAGAAAATGTCTAATCATGATTTCTCAACTTCTACTCGTGTGAATTGATTTGTTTGAATGAAATGTAATTACGTGCCATATCTTTTTTATTTGGAATATTTTGTTGGTTCTAACCTTTTACAAATCTTGATATGAGATGTTGAAGGTGTGAAGATTGCTTTAATTAACAGTGTTATTTAGACCTACAGATATTTTAGATATATAAGAGTTTTTTTTTCTTTAGTGTAGACGTTTTGTGTTGAATTATAAAAACAACTGACATAACATAGTTATGGGTAAATTAAGTGGCATGCTATGAAGTCGACAGGATATGTTATTTAAAATAAATACCGGATGGGTCTGATATTCGATAGGCTATTACTAATACTATAACAGTAATTGTAAAGCAATGGAATCGTGAGAATTATAAACAGTATGGATGCACTATTTGATGTATGATTGGTGAGAAATTTAAAGTGATGAAAGATCAACATAGGATTATATTCTTGAACCGACAGGATAATGGATGTGTTATCAAAAAGGAAATAAGAAATTGTGTGGAATGCGATAATAAAAAAGAAAATCAAATAAATGGCTCTTTTATCAAATAAACATGGTGATCTAAATGTAAAGGGGGCAATGGATATCGCACGCGTATAAGCAGAACAAATACAAAAGAGAACTGATTTGAGAACAGATGTGATGAGATACCTACAAATACAAATACATAGAATACAGACTTACATTAGTTGATTATATCATACAAGCTATTTGATATAGAAATATAGAAACAGAATGTATCAAAGCGTCCTCATTGGCAGTTACAATCAGAAAAATAATTCTAGTGGTTAAAGAGAATCATTATATATGAGAGCCAAATATTATCCATAAAATAATAACTGTCAAAGTAGCCATCCTAGATAGATCTGTTGGTGATTTGGGGATGAAATGAGTAGCACAATACCAAAGTAATAAAACGTATTATAGAAAAAAGTCTCTCAGAGAAATAGAATAAGTCTCAGGGAAAAGACGAGAAAGGGGAATAAGATAAAGATAAAAGAAACAGGATAGAGATAAAAAAAAATAGGACAAAGTTAAACGAATAGGACAAAAGAAATAGAAACAAAGAAATGGGACAGAATTGAAAGAAATTGGACAAAAGAAATAGGACCAAAAAATAAGACAGAGTTAAAGAAATAGGACAAAAGAAATAGGACCAAAAAATAGGACAGAGTTAAAATAAATAGGACAAAAGAAATCGGACAGAAGAAATAGGACAGAAAAATAGGACAGAAAAAATAGGACAAAGTTAAAATAAATAGGACAGAAGAAATAGGACAGAGTTAATAGAAATAGGACAAAAGAAATAGGACAGAGTGAAAAGAAATAGGGCAAGAGAAATAGGACAGAGATTAAGGAAACTAGACAGGGATAAAAGAAATGGAACAGAGAATGAAGAGATAGGATAGAAATAAAAAGAAAGAAACGAAGGTAGTAAGTAGTCTGAGAGCTTAAATTAGGAACTGTTATATTTAAATCAGAGACTGTAACACTTACTTGAATTCACATATACTAATTTATATGACCATAGAGCTCTATATATACAAATGGGATAACAGGACTTGGTAAGGTAAAGAAAAAATAAGGCTGTATACGATCCTCTATAGAATGTAACAGACTGAAACACTTCAATATGAACTAATAATTAACATACATATCAGTCATACGTGATTCGTTGCGTGTGATTTTATCCATGTGAAAGAAAGTCATGCCCGATGAAAGGTACTACTGATGAAGGGAGATTTGACATATTCCAGTAACGATATGTTATAAACCATTAGCGTAACCATGAATTTTAAAGAGATTATCTTCGTCATTAGTTTATTTTCGTTGGCTCTATGTGAAAAAGAATCCACGGAATATAAACTAAGGGAAACAAAATATGGCAAAATAAAAGGATATATAAACAATATTAAAGATGTGGGAAAAGTAGAGAGATATTTAGGAGTGCCTTATGCCAGACCACCAATTGACCAATATCGATTTGAGGTAAGTGTTTCAATCTTTTAAATGTGATTATGATAAGTGTTGAATATCGATTTGAGGTCAGTAGACTTTATACTTTATATCTCTTTCTCACATTAGGTATAACATATTACATTTCTATCACATTTATTACTGCATGTGTAACATTCGTTATTATACATCTATTGCTACTGCAAATCTCTATTATCAGTATACGTTCTGTAACATTAGTAATTATATCTCTATTGTCACTTTTTGTCTATGTAACATTAATTATATCTATATTATTATTTCATGTTTCTGTAACATCAGTTATTATTCCTCTATTATAATTATCTGTCTCTGTAACATTAGTTATTACACCTCTATTATTACTATTTGTCTCTGTATTAGTTATCACATCTATAGTATATTAGTACTATTTGTCTCTGTAACATTAGTTTTTATAAATCTATTATTACTGTTTGTCTCTGTTACATTAGTTCTTATATCTCTATAATTATTACTTCATGTCTATGTAACATTGGTTATTATATTTTATATTTCTGTTATAACTGTCTGTCTCTGTAACATCTGTTATTATATCTCTATTATTACTACATGTCTCTGTAACATCTGTTATTATATCTCTATTATTACTGCATGTCTCTGTAACATCTGTTATTATATCTCTATTATTACTGTATGTCTCTGTAACATTATTTTTTATACCTTTATTTTACTGCATGTCTCTGTAACATTAGTTATTATATCTATATTATTACTCCACGTCTCTGTCACTGTGTATATCTGTAACAGTAGTTTGTTTAGCTCTATTATTATCGTATGCCTCTGTAACATTAGTTATTATCACTATATAATTATATATCTCTCATTTCTATCTATCTCTGTAACATAAGTTACTATATATGTCTTTTATTGATGTCTGTCTCTGTAATTATATCTCTATTTTTACTTTCTACATCTATAATGTTACTGTTGTATTCCTTTTTTTCAAAACGCCACATTCATAATCATAATTGTTTTGGCATATTTTTGTAAAACAATTTTACATGTAATGGTATCATGTTATACACATGAAGAAGATAACCACAATCACACTTTATCGGGTTATACCATTAAGAAAAAACTTTACTTCAATTATAATGATTTTAAATGCATATCGGGCTATTAAGTTAATGTTCCAAGTTAATGTTTCACGTATATCTAAAAAAACACTATAATAGATAAGAAGGCAATTTCGAGTTAATTATACAATCTAAGGTTATTTTTGGAATGAAAGAAGGGAAAACCGTTTAATGTACCTTTGAACTAAAATATAACTCAAGATACCATAATATCCAAAATGCATTTGGCACAAAAACATTTAATCAAAGCAGATATACATTTTAAAGACGCACCATGTTGCGCTGAGAATTAAGCATTTTTGATAGGACTTTTTTTATAACGCTGCGCCTATCTTAGTGTTCTTTTCAGTAATGTACTAAAATATTTCCAATGCCAGTGATTCTTCACCATCGATACAATAAAGGCGTCTTTGATAAGTGATGGAAGATAAATGAATACCTTCAAGTTTGATTTATACAGCCATTTTATCTTCCTAGTAGGCGAATGTAAATTTTATAGGAAAATGCTAATTGATTTCTGCTTTTTCTGCACACAAGGGACATCTTCTATCTCTTAAAGAAACCCTTTCATCTTAACCAACAGTTCATTTGTTAGTTTATGTTTGAATTTTATAGGATGCAGAAGATCCATTACCATGGAGAGAAGACATTTTATCAACTATTACATTACCGGCCGCTTGTCCACAAACTGGAATGGACTGGAGATACATCCATAGACATCAACCGAATTTTACATATGAATCAGAGGATTGCCTCTACCTTAATATATATGTACCAATCAACAAGGTTTAGTGTTTAACTTTTTAGAATATACAACATAATGTAAATTCAACAAACATGCAGCTTTCAATAAGAGTAGATTCTGGTTTAAATGCCTATTGATCAGGACCTTCATGTTGCTGGACTTCCTTGATCACCGGGGATTGATTTTGGCCTTGAATAATCTTAAGAAGTACTAAAGCTGCATGAAAATCTCTTTAAAGATACCAATTTCAATTTCTCTAATTTGATACTTCAAATCATTAATAATATTTAGTTGAAATTTTTGATGCAGCCAAAGAAACAAACTTCTGGTCATTAATGATGCTTAGTTAAAATGGTCAACTTTTGAAGTGTTAAGGTTTTAAGAAAACTCGTTATCATCGTCCATCCCACCGTTGCTAAGATGTACATAACATACTAGCGTTATATCATTGTTGCGGAGTAGTGGACTAGTCTCAGATGTAAGAGACTGTTGAGTATAACCTTTTGATCTTAAGCTTAAAGCTTATTGGTTGAAAAATGATTTCAGATACAATGTACTCTCGCTAATACGACCTTGTTTTAGGGTCCCAATGTACGTCGGATTATACAGAGTATAATATACCTTACTATCCATCAGAATATATTATGTTTTATAATTATGAATTTAATAGTCGCAATCACTGCTGGAAGTTCTGATACACATTCACGGTGGTTCTAATGAAGTTGGAATGGGTGGAATGTTTCATGGAGATGTTTTGGCTATAAAAGGAGAAATTATAGTTATAACGTTTAATTACCGACTTGGTGCTCTAGGTAAGTTGATATGGTGTTATTTATTCAGTATTTTTGCTGTAAGATATTGAAATTTTAGCCATTGTTTAAATCTGAGAGAACTTGGAAATACTTTCATTTGTATTCGCATTACAATTAAATCATTATGCAATTTTATCACCTCTTTGCTTTAGGGTTTTTGACTGGAAGTTCCAGTCAGTTCAGAGGAAACTATGGAATGACAGATCAAATTAAAGCTTTTCTTTGGGTTCAAGAAAACATTCATTATTTTGGTGGAGATAGAAATAAGGTCACCATAACTGGTCATAGTGCTGGAGGTTGTGATGTTGGTTTACATATTTTATCTCCACTTAGTAAAGGTACGTTTATATATTAAGTCTTCACTCAGTAAAGGTATGTTTATGTATTATATCTCCATTTAGTAAAAGTAAGTTTACATATTATATCTACACTTAGTAAAGGTATGTTAATGTATTATACCCTCTCAGTAAAGGTATATTTATCTATTATATTTCCACTCACTGTAGGTAAGTAATGGTAAGTTTATATTTTATATCTCCTCTTAGTAAAGGTACGTTTATATTTTATGTCTCCTCTCAGTAAAGGTAAGTTTAAATGTTGTATCTCCACTTAGTAAAGGTAAGTTTAAATGTTGTATCTCCACTTAGTAAAGATAAGTTTATATACATGAACTATATCTCTACGTAGTAAGTATATCAGTGTTTTCTCAGTTAAGACAAGTTGATTATATCTCCACTTAGAAAGTTTATATTTCATATCTCCACTTAGTAAAGGTAAGTTTATATATTATATCTACTGTCAGTAAAGGCACGTTTACATATTGTATCTCCACTTAGTAAGGGTAAGTTTATGATTTACATCTTCACTCATAAATGTATGTTTTATATCTTCTATCTCCTCTATGTAAAGGTAAGTTTATATTTTATATCTCCTCTCAGTAAAGGTAAATTTATATCTTATATCTCCTCTATGTAAAGGTAAGTTTATATTTTATATCTCCTCTCAGGAAAGGTAAATTTGTATATCATATCTCGTCTTAGTAAAGGTAAGCTTTTATATCATATCACGTGTTAGTAAAGGTAATTTATTATATCATATCTCCTCTTAGTAAAGGTAAGTTTATATACTCTCAGTAAAGGCAATTATATATCTTATATCTCTACTAGGTCTTAGAAAAGTTAAGTTTTTATCTTATATCTCGTATTATGTCTTTTATCTCTGTATAAGTCATAATTCTTTTATTAACGTCAATGGTTACTGTAAAGTTGTGTATATTTAAGGTCTATTTCGGTACGCTGTAATGGAAAGTGGATCGCCGTTGTCTTTCTGGTGCGTATCTAAAAATGAAAATGGTTTGAAGCAAGTGATAGATGAATTCGCGAAGGCTAATGATTGTTATTATGAAGAGAATATGCAGCAACTTAAAAAATGCTTAAGAAAAATAGAATACACAGATTTAACACAGCATAAATTTAAGGTTAGGTTAGATAGATATGTTAACCCTGAACAAAACATCTGATAGCTATTTTGTCGGCTACTCCGGCCGTCAAAATATCAGAGGTTGAAGGCATATGCTTCGGACTATGTTAATCCATGTTTCTGAAGGCCTGACCTGATTTTATAAGCAAAGCGTTGTTTGAAAAAATAGGACGATATACGAAAAATAGTTCCTGATATCTTGCCATAATATAACCAACGGTACCGATAACTTTTACATTGTTTGAATGAAGCCCATGAATTATTTTCAATGATTTTTTCAGTAGTTAATATATACTCATATAAGACAATCTACACGTCTACAGGGACAATAGAGTTGAACTATGAAATATAATAGAATACGTTTCTATTTAATTCTAGAAATCTGATAAATTTACTGTTTATGGTGCTAATATAGATGATGTATTTTTAACTGAGGATCCTGGTATTCTATTTAAAAACGGTGAGATAAATGGAGAGTCTTTTATGACAGGAGTTGTTCAGAATGAAAGTACTGAAGGAGGTAAAGACATCATATCGTATCAAATTCAATCAGTGAGAAATGTGATTTATCGCAGATACAATGAGTGCTCTATAAAGAAATTATATGTTTGAGTGTCAGAATATTTTAAATGTATAAATGTTTTATCTCATATATTGGTTTAGAACCAAGCCAGTGTAATGTTTTGTCGCATTTTTTGTGTAAATGAAGCTGATTTATTTTCAGTTTTAAACATATTTAAACATGAAGGAGTTGATTTAGAACTCAAGAAAGTGTTATATTACGTTCCTTCACTTAGTAAAACTACAAGAAATTATCAACATATATTTGCTGGTAAGTTTTTCTCAAGATGTTAGAGAAGTATAAAATTTGACTGTTTAGTTTTCAGTCTGTGGGTTCTGAGGGTGAAACATTAAGACATTAACTGTCCGGTTTGTTCAAGTGGTATTCTGTTCCTCCAGCTTATCTTCATTGTTAACTCTTTCAGTAAGAAAAAACACATTTTTTGTATGAAATACTCCAAATTTCAAGATTCTTTTCTGTTTTGATGGAAAAAAGGTTTTTGGGGGTTTCTTTCTTGTTTTGCTGAAATTATCGTCTTTTTGGGCATTAGTTCAATGAAAGGGAAGAAATTACAGTATTTACTTTCGGCGTAATATTTTTTGACAAGGAATTTACAAAAGGCTGATATTTCAAAATGGTTCAACCTATAAAGCTATAATTTGGTGAAAAGATGTCTAATATAATATTAGGTCTAAATATTATTATCATAGCTATGATACTTTTTGAAAAATTCTGAAATGAAAAGTCGTATCGTTTTTTACTGGACCACTCGATATAGTGTGAGCGGGTATTTAACTTCTAGTGACATTAGACATAGTATCCCAAATACGGGTGATAATGGGGGCGTGGTTTGCACGCGATGATTATTGGAATACAATAGCCAGGGTAAATGAATCTCTACCAAGCGTTGCTTCAGTCAAAATTGTGAATAAATCAATAACAATCAATAATAATCAATGACACAAGAAAATAATACTACAGCCAAGATAATATCATTTTATGTAATTTAATTTTTACAGATTTATTAAAGGACGAATACTTGAAGAATATTGACGTAAAGAACAGAACCCAGTTTGTCTCTGCTCTATCGCAGGTAAACTTTCCGAACACCGCCTTGGTTATTATAAAAACGAAACAGAACCAAAATATTCCTTTATTATACAGTAAATTGTCTGTAGATCTAGCTGAGGACGGCCACTAGTACATTTATCCCTAACGTATCGCTCACGTATCCCTCTGAGTTTGTCTAGCAAGCAAATCTGGCAGGTTGGTTTGTAATGAACCAAAATAGTTCTGGTTAGCGTCCTTGCATGACTTTTTGCGAATCTATGATACGCTGATAGAAAAGGTGCTACTAAACAATGACTTGCAATTTGTAATTTTGAATTGTAATATGTATTCGTATTATAGATGATGGGAGATAAAACATTTCTAGCGCCAACAGTTGAGCTGGCTGATATTCTTTCAAATCGCCAGAAAGATGTCTATTTTTATCATTTTAATCACAGATCACAACGTTCATCATTAAACGTATTGGCAGGTAAAAAAGGGGATTGTAAAGAGACTTTTTATTTGTATCGGGTACACTGAAGCATTAATTTGCACCATTCCAATTTTCAATCAGACTTCTATCTGCGGTTCTTGGAATTCCATATAGACGACCGAATGAAAGTAAAATATAACCCAATAGGTAGTGACTAATGACTTTTATTAGTCATGAAAAAGTAAAATTTAACGATTAATTTCTAAAAAAACATCTAAGTGAAAATTCAAACTGTCATTGAGAACCTATTTCAGGCGTATCTCATGGAAGTGATGTTTTCTATTTATTTGGTGCACCATTTACTGGCCATGAAAAAGTACAGTTTGATGAAGAAGATAAAGTAGTGAGTTCTTCAGTAATAAAATTGTGGTCATCATTTGTTAAAACTGGGTTAGTATCATATTGGTTTAACATCGGGCTAATGTCCCATTCCAGAAAAATCCACTGTACTCCCACTTCACTTCCCCACTTTAACTTTAATCCCTAAATATATGCCAGAATGATCAAAAGCAATACTGTGATATTTTTCAAACAATCTCGGGAGGAGGACCTCCTATGCTAGCTTTCATAATACATCATTACCCTGAGCATTAAGTCGAGGGGTTAATATATCATTTATTTCAACACTACAGCCTGTGTCTAGACGCTACTTGAGGCCCTTTTATAAAACAAAAAATGGTCCAACTAAGAACAGTTTTTGGAATGAAACGGATGAAATTTGTGTAATGTAAACAGACCATCTTTCTTTTGTCTTCTGCAACTTCTGTCTGTGCATTTTAAATCCAAATGATTTAATAGAATGCTTTCCATTTGTTTTTCAGGCAGCCAGAATTGAGTAATTCTGATACAAAATATGTACCGAAATATACTGCTCCGGATAAAACATACGTTGATATTAAGGGTTACCATGGCAACGTTAATTTAACCATTAGAAAATCATTGCGGGCAGAAAAGGTAGCCTTTTGGAATCATTGTGTACCTTTATTACAGAGAGTTTTGGATAAAAACAGTTGTATATGTTGCCGCCAAATATGTGTATATTTGATTGTTATATTATTGATGATAAATTATTTATAGTCTTTTCGACAAGTTTTTGTTTAGCCTATTGTTGTAAATAAACCACATTGTCCATATCATATTGACATTTTACAACTTTATTTCTATATTACCTCCACTTTATGCTATATTATTGTGTTCATATTATAGGCATATTTTAATTTATCGTCAAGCACAATGTCCAGTCATATGGTCCAGTTTATTGACTTGCCTCACATAGGCTACAAAGCTTTGTGGCCTACAACCATCCACGGTCTCCCCATTTTGGACTTCCTTTAACGATTTATAAGCCCAGTGTCCGTTAAATTATTATTTATGCAATCTTAGGCTTACTATAATATTTTAGAAAATATCGTCTTTTTCACAAAACTGAAAGCTATGCCTATAATGATAACTATACACAGGACGTCGTGTGCTGTGTTGGCTACTTGATCTGACGTCAAACGTTATTAGTAACGTCACGGCGTTTCTATGTAGGTTATCCTTCAAAAAATGATCCTAGGGAGGCACAGGACATAGAAATCTCAGTAAGCTTTGGTTTGTTTTATTTTTTAAAAAAACCAAAACAGTTAATAGGTAAGAATAAAATATTTGACTTACGTTATCTAATCCAATTGGTAGGATAATAATGAATACTGAATAATGACCGCTTCGGGACTTTATATGGCAAGAGGGTTAGGCGTGAGTCCGTCAAGCTATTAAAAATCCCCCAAAAGTGTTATGATTAATACAATAGGTAAGGGACATCTACGGTAGGCCTACCAGCAAGCTGCATTTCATTTGAATCTGATTAGTTTAGATATCATAGTTTAGACAACGGGACCTTAAAAATATTTAACCTGGTGAGAGCGATGTTGCAGCCACAAAACCCATTGTGTCCAAACCACACCCCATTTGTCATACTTCCTAATAAGACCATGTCAAAACCTGTATTCGTGATACGATGGACATAACATAACTATTATAATTTTTTTCATCTTATTTTAGCAAAAAGAAGAAATATAAAACCTATTTCTGTTGTGCAAAATGTTTAAAACGGAAATCAAAATGGGACCAAAATGTCAGAAGCTAGCCTTGTCACTTGGATTGGGCTCTTTAATGACTGTTTTGTCATCATATTACAATATAAACAACATGAAACCTGAAGATTTATGGGCAAGTTGCTTTTTTTTGTCCAGCTGGATGGTGTTTTTCTTGCCCGGACTTATGGACAGACTGAATATTGGTCTCCTTAAAGACCTTTTCATCATTTTTTTCAAGCTGTGGACAGTTGACTTGGTTTTTAGTGCGTTCGCTAATCTTAGAGGTTACGGCAATGGTTATACGTATATGATGGATGAAGGTTGGTTCTATAAAACGACTGGATTTTTAAGAGCTGCTGTTGTTGTATCATGCATCGTTGTGTCAACAATAACATATATCACCAAACAGATTCAGAGACAAAGACAGAAGCGAATGCTGCTTGCCAGATTGAAACCGAAAAAAAAAAGTAGATAAAGACTGCTTTCATTGCGGGAGAATAAAATGTCAAATTGTTGTGTTTATTTTTTTGGTTTAAACACTATCTTATCCAGTAGCCCACAAAAATAAATAGCTGTGACAATCTGAAAATCTACCTCCAGGAAATGTTATAATAACTGGCTATTGCTACTTATAGGTCTTGATCAGTTTTACACCTTACATGATTGTTATAATGTCTAGATATATATTACAAACCTTATCCCTGAGAAACAGACACAACCATCACATTGATCAATAATTTGCTGTCCAATATTCAACAATCATGTAATATAAATGATAAAGATGTATTACAATAAAGTTGTGAACAACGTGAAGCTTTGTTTTTAATTTAAAGGGTTGAGATCTGATGCAGAATTCTGGCCCCGTATTCTCGAAACGATTTTGGCGCTCGGATGTCCAAGGTTCAAGACATCCTAGCGCTAAGATAAGATCGTTTCGAGAACACGGGGCCAGGAATAGGGTCTCTTCCTGAAAAAGTTTGGGCTCATTTAAGCTCAAGTTTGAGCCGCTGTCGTTCACCTCAAAATAATATATCATAAAATTTTCCTTCTTGCCTCTGGAGAATCAAACGGAAGCTTGGACCTGTAAATTGGGTTGGACCCCGTATGCATGTGTAAACCGAATGTTTTTATAACTCACGTCAACGAGGCGACCCATATTACTCCAAGACAGGCCAGTCTGTAGATGAGCTTCCTTGTGTTTTTGTGAATCCTATTCCTAAATATGCTTTAAAACCGTAAACTTTGAGCTCATAGTATGCACGAATTTTGTTCCCGCACTGTATAAAAAATTGGCACACATTAACAATCAAAGGCACTACTTGTTTACGCAAATGGGTTATGTTTAGGGTTTAGGGTTAGGTTTTTTTTTTTTAAGGTGAGGTTAGGGTTAGGGTTTAAGGTTAGGGTTAGGTTAGGGTTAGCATACATAGTTCACGTGTTGTGGAAGTGTTTGTTCCGTTTTTATTTTTGTTCACAAAACTTGTACGCAATTCTGCATGCCTTTTATGAGCAATGCGTCTTATACTCGTGAGTGATGCACATAAATCATATTTGGGGTTTATGAAACTTAACGCTGGCGCTAATCCTCTCCTGAAAGACGATGAGGCACCCCCGAACAAACAGCAATGGCATAACCTCATCACCTCCCCCATCCACCATCAGAGAATGATTTAATAGACTTACATAATAGGAATGCTATTGGATTCATTATTTTGTCGGGCGAATACATAATATTGACAAATACACTTTATTTATGACTTTAGTCATGGTACAAGGTATATGAAAATGATGTAATGATAGTTTTGATAGCTTGCTTCATGCACACTTGAATGCATCTTCACAATGTCAAGCTGTTTGTCTTATACCTTGACTCCAATAGCCAATTTCTAATATCACAGAAGTTTGTAAATGTAGCCATTTGAGTGTATTCTAAAAAAAATACAGCTAATCAGAGGCCTTGACAGGAAATTTGAAAACAATAAGACATAGTATAAACTGTCTTTCTGTCCAGGACTCTGACTGATTGTATTCACTGGTGTACCATCCAATGAGTTGCTCTATTCTGTAATACAAGAATAGTGGCTATTGCAGTCAAGGTACAAGGTATAAGACATAATGATGATGATTTGATTGCAGATAATACTCAAGAACCATTTTGGCTATAAAAGAACTTTTAAAATAAAAAAACATCTAGCCATCTTGAAATTTCTTGCTGGTTATAAACCAATATAGAAATATTTCACACCACAGTTAGTTTTACTCTTTCACCATATGTATTCAATGATCTATAATGTTTCCGAAGTCTCTGATATCCAGATTTTAAAAGTTCTATCAAATGAACATGTTGCCATATGTTTCAGATCAGGTGATATATCTAAACCCATTATTTTTCCTTCATGACCAGCTAATGTTCTTAAAGGTGTCCATGTTGGATGAGCCCAGATCTGAAAAGATAAAAAGATTATATTTATTTAAACCATCTAATATATTTTTTATTTCTTTGGTTTGCTGCACATGCCATTCTAAAAAATCTCAAGAAGAGTAAATGTGGTGTTGCTATTGAAACTATTTAACTATGCACTTGATCAGTAATGTTACGATAACCAATGTAAATTTTTGTTTAAAAATAATGGACAAACTAAGATTTAAAATATACCTTAGCAGTACTATCATAGGATGCTGTTACTAAATAATTACCATGTTGTGCTGAAATTAAGACATTATAATTAAAATACAAAAACAACCAATAAGATGCTATGAAACTTGACAATTATAATTAAACATTAACAACAGAATGGTTTTTATGCTGCTTGTAATATAAATTGCATTTTTTTTTTGAGGTTTTTAAAAAATAATTTTTTTTAAAGTGTGTTTCAGGAATACCATATTTCTATTATTAGCAATTGATTGTTGTACCATACTTAACAGGAAAGCCAAATAGAATCTTAGAGGCTAGTAGGTGGAGCTTAGTTTTGGTACAACAAGTTCATTGTAACGTTATTCCTTGGCTGAAGCTCCACTCCACCCCATTTTTAAAATTTGCACAAGTATATATTTCATTGGATAAAACAGTGATCTATGCTGTAAAAAGTTCCTGCTATCAATCATTTTATTTATGGTACAAGTCATATACTGTATAGCACATGCAAATTTTCTACAGAAGAACAGGTAAACTTACGTTGGAATTTAACATAAGATACAAGATTAGTATGAGCTGGGATGGTATATACACATTTTCTTTGTCGTAAATCCCATATTTTACTCATATTATCTTCACTGCCTGTAGCAACATGGTACCTAAAATCAATTTCAGTTATTGGATTCTGTATTTCGAATAAATTTCTATAAATTCTAATACATCAATTTTCATAATTCAACATACTATTTTTCTTCTTGTGATTAATTAGTCATTATCAATCATTTCTTTATTCTAAATTAACAGCTTGGTGTGGTGTTCCAACTTCTGAAAATGTGGGGCAATCATTCATGTTAATTACATCATGAAAATCAGATACATAACATTTGACAATTTGATTGTAACTCTATCTTACCCATCTGGACTAAAATCTATTGCCAATACAGATTTGAGATGACCTTCTAAAAACATTACACATCTACCTGATCTCAAATCCCAAACTCTACTGTATGCATCTAATCCACTACAATTGAATAAAAAAAATCAATATAACAGTAAATAACAACAATACAAAGAAAAAAAATAATTATTATAATAAAAGTATTTTATTCATAATGCAAACATTTTCCTTGTGTTATTATAATGTTAGCTTTTGGTGATCAAATGTTTTCTAACTGTCTGATTGTCTGGAAGGGTGTGCCAGCAATTCTGTGCAATGATAAAACTTTTCTTCCTAAAGTGGTGAATCCTGACGTTTCAGATACACAACAGCATTAATTTTGAGTAATATTCTCAAGAATAATTCACTATTGTTCTGAATTGCATTTGCAGTATATTAGTTTTATACCCTTGTTCTTCTTTCAAAGTACAAATAGAATACATACCAAGTAGCTGCTAATGCCCCATCACATTGAAATGATATATCATAAACAGGTTTACTATGACCTTCTTGATGTAATACTTCATCTTGAGCTTCTAAATCCCATAATCTCCATGAATTATCAAAACTACAAAATAATTGTTTTAATAAATCTTATTCCAGTTTTTAGCATGTTAGTTTGTTTCTCATAGAAATATAGTTCTGAAAATAATTGCTTAACCTGCTTGCTGACAATTTGCCCTATTAAAGTTTCTAGAACTTTCAAATGAGGTGAAATATTTGTTCTGAAATGCATCTATCAACAGGAGTGCACAATGCACTGTCCATTAATTATTAAATGCATGTGCAAACCATTGTTTCCTTTCACCAATAATGAGCATAGAAATGAATTTATTGCCTGTCTTCTCAATTAAAATCAACTTCTTTCTTTTGTTAAATTGTTAACAAATAGTCAGCAGACAGTATAGTTGAGAAAATAAGCTAAACTTACCAGCATGTACCAAGAAATCTTCCAGAGGGATGATAAGCTAGACGCGATACTCTATATGGTGAATGACCTTCAATATCGGCAATAGGTTCTTCACTAGATTAATGAAAGATAATAATATAATGAAAAGAAAAACTGATTGAAAGAAAATGAAGTTAATGCCAACTTAATAAAATTAGAGGAGAAACATTTAATATTGTGATACTCAAGAAAGTCAGAAACTCCTACTAATATTACAAACACTACTTACAAAACAACAGTGATTTATAGACATCTAGAATAAATCTGTACTATACTAAATATAGATAAATCACGCCAGAAAAGCATATAACAAAAGGAAGTGGATTATATTTTCAACCTTTGTGACAATATTCGTCAAATAAGCCTAATTTCTTTCTCTTCACATTGCACGAATCCTTTTCTCGGAAAAAGAAATGCATGTTGGTTCATTAGTAGTATTTATAGATCTTCATATTTCACAAGTTGACGTGAGCACCAGTTCAAACATAATATATCACGAGACAAGGTCTAATAGAACTCGCTTTTAGCTTCCACAATAAAAATTGACTTCTGGTTTGTCATTTGTTTATAATTCAAGAAAAATGTACATTTAGAAGGTACGTCAGTTTACTTTAATTTTACCCATAAACAATATTAATATTACATCAGTAATATTTGCAAATGAGAACATTTAGAACAGTCTGGTTGGCTTATATTGTAGACAAACTAGATATAATTTTCATTCGCAGAAGTGTTACAGATAGTTGAAATCATGGTCTATTTGCTTTAAGATTTTAAATATAAACCTGTTTATCCAGATTTGAAGTTTCAGAGTTACCTGACAAGGTTCCAGAGTTTGACAGTACCATCTTGTCCACATGATGCCATACAACAAGCATTATCATCTAAACTTAATGTGGCTTGAGGATGAAATACTATAGCTCCAACATTACAATTGTGACCTAAAAAGATACATACTTCATTTTCAATTTGTGTACTAAGTAAATAAACCAAATAGTAACAATCCAAACCACATAGCAGCTAATGAATTTTTCATGTATATCAATCATAAAGGACTTTCATATTGAAAAGTGAAATACTTTTTTGAAGTTTGATCAACAAAAGAAAAAGATTATTTCAATGTTTAAGGAATAATAAAACCCCCTATCATAAGTTATCTTCTCATTTATTTGATCCAAAGGTGAAAACATCTATATTTTACATTTACTTTGAACTTTGGTTCAAAAAGGACCCTTTCAACCAGCTGGTCCTTCGCCAAACCTCTTGGCATTAATCTTTTCTTGATTATCCGTAGCCAATGACAGCTGTGTCGACTGGAATTACGAGTGAAGATGACTTATTCAGGATCATTAATCTCACATGCTGTCCAAGATTAGAACCAACGACTACCATTTGTTTGATGAAGCAAAGCAAATGATGTCATATAAAAAAAACCCATGTCACAAAATTGAAATGCAAAATGAGTTATCAACAACAGAATTTTGAATGATAAAGAAACAATAACTACCTCTCAGTTCTCTAACCATTTCACATTCTGGTATAGACCAGATTTTACATAATCCTGACCTGACAATATAATTTAGAAATATTAGAAATATGATGAATATGCCTGATGACAATACCAGAACCTAATTTATTATCTAGGATACGCCCACTACCAGCTGTCAGAATGATAACAAAATCTTTAGTGGCTTAATAATAAATTTTCAAATAATCTTAAAATCATCTATAAGTCTAGGCAAAAACCTGAAACAGTTCATCAAGTTATCATGAAATTCAAACATGAACAATGTCTCATCGCTGTACACACAAGGGTAATAACTCGGAAACTGTTGATTCAATTATTACCAATTTTTAACTTGACCGAGATCTCATCATGCATATATCTAGTTTCATCAAGGATAAAAACTGTAGTCTCGAATTTGACAAGTTTTTACAAAGTCAAGGGCAATAACTCCTAAAGCCTTCATCCGATTGTTACCAATTACGAACTCGAGTGAGATCTCAGCAATATATAGATGCATACCTAGTTTCATCTAGGTTGGATAAAAACTGTAGTTTCTATCGTGCTTACAATCGAAATTTGATTCGGCAATAACTCTGAAATCGTTCATCCGATTATTACCAATTTCGCACTTGACCGAGATCTCATCAATATATACATGCATACCAAGTTTCATCAAGATCGGATGAAAAATGCAGTCTGTATCGTGCCTACAAGGCAAATTTGACGCATTTTTACTAAGTCAAGGGCAATAACTCTGAAATCGTTCATCCGATTATTACAAATTTCGAACTTGACCAAGATCTCATCAATATATACAAGAATACCAAGTTTCATCAAGATCAGATAAAAACTGTAGCCCCTATCGCAGCTACAAGAAATGTGAACGGACGGACCGACGGACAGGGGCGACGGTATTATACGTCCACATTTCCATGTGGGTGTATAAAAAACCAATAGAGCTTCTTCCTACTTCTACCAAAATCCAAAAGCAAATAGCAAACATTCTTGCCTTCTTAGCCAAAAGAAGTCAAAGATATATGGGTATGAAGTCAATTATATGGAGGGCACATTGAACACAGGTTGAAATAGGTAAGTTGCCTTGATATAACATTTTTTGACATGCTACTTCATTCGGGCAATACTTGTGCAATTTTTATTGGATGACTGTCATATTTTCAGGGGTGGACAACGACATCTTGAATTATACCTATAAGAATTTTGAAAGAGATCAGTTTACCAACAGCTGAGATACTACCAGTCGATCATTGTGGTGTTAGTTTTTTTTGGAACACCCAACATATGTACATGTTCTTTTACACATTTAAACATGTTTTGCATATCATAGATAATTTTCAAACATAGATCCATAAGTTACTTGGCTTTGTGGATTTAAAGCAAAATATTGTATAAAAACAGAATTAGTATAAGAATCAATTTTTTTCCTTTTTTTTTTAATAAACAGGGATCTCTTGTCATTGTACTTACCAAGATGAAACTGCTAATAATTTAGAATTGGGACTAAACTGACAGAAAGATAGAGGTCTATTGTCTCCTATTTGACTACAATCATTGGTAACCGACTGAAATATTCAAATAATCACTTCACATTCACAACATACTCAAATTTTTGTAAAATAAATATCACTAGAGGAAAATGTACATATGTAGTAAAATTTGATAATTTTTAATCACCATATCCAATCTAACTAAAGATATCTTCAAAAAACATGTTAACTTAACTTTCATCATTCTTAGAACAATTTTAGCATCTAATTCATCAAGAGTTAATTTGAAACAGTAGTTTTTATTGGTTGAAATATATAGTTGCAGACATCTGGCATATTTCGGTTTAAATTATTTTATTTTGTCAAAAGTCATATGAAAGTTACATTGGAATGCTTACCCTAATCTTTTTATGTAATTCTTGTAACTTGGCGTTTTGTTGTGTTGCTGGTATATTTTTCTCTAATTTTTGTTTTGTGACCCTCTCCTTAGCACTGTAATAAATTATAACTTTATATAATAATTTTTCAAATATAGTTTTAAACAAATTTAAATAAATTTCACAACAATACTATGATACAGTTAAACCAGAATAATCTTACCGGGGTAGTGAATAATTAGCAAGCCAAAGTCTTGCCTCTTTTAAACTTTCAGATCCTTCATGATACCAGGTTACATTTTCCTGAAAAAAAATTCCCCACCAGATTTATAAATAAGAGTCATAATGAAACTGATCATTGACTAGTAAAATACATGAATTAAGAAATTGTGTTTGTTTATGTTTTCACTCTGCATACAATACTGAAGTTACTCTGAACATAGTATTATTTACAATTAATCATACATAGGTATAGTACACCATTCTTAAAAATTAATGACCATATGAATATTTCTTTTATTATAATGAATCCATATTCACCTCTTCTTTCTTTTTAGCCTCAGCAGCTTTCTCTTCTGCCCTTTTCTTTATTGCATCTGCACCAATCTGAGCTAAAATCTGACGAAGACGTTCTCTTCTTTCTGCTGGTCCTTCACCAAATAAACCTTCAAATAAAACATCTCTTTAATACTGGGAGTCAAAACAAAGCAACAAATTACTCAGAAAACAGATTTTAAGTTTTAGTCAATGTGTAAATATGTTCCAAAAAGTCTTATTATATTTTGAAGTGCAAAGTTTAGCAGCTGACAAACTTAACTTAGTGGTCTATGATTTTAAGAAAATAAAATGGTAGCTTACATATTGGTTCTCCATTTTCCCTTAATCTTGCTTTAACTTCAAAATCATCTGTGGACACTTGAATTTGACGTGCCTGTAGGATTGAAATAAAATATTATCATAATATTATCATGATTAATCTGCATAATATGCATTGCCTCTAATTTTATTCAAAATATTTTCTCTAGCCTTTGTGTATATTCCTGAGAATATTTGTACCCCATAGGTGTAATTCCATAGATATGCAACAACCATTTAGATTGAATGAAAGAGTCCTAGATAAATTTAGAAGGGTTCAAAAACATCTTTAAGATATTCAGCTTCATCTGTATTTTCCTAAAGACATTTTCATACCAAAATCAAGACAATCTTAGAATCAATGAATATCAATATTACCGTAAAGATAAACAAAATATACTTACTCTTTTTCTTTTATTAAATTCTGCTAAAGCTTCAGCTTGACCTGCATCATCATCTATTTCAAATTGGTTACTCTCTGTAGAAAATATAATGTTACTTAGTTACTTAAATACACTATTAATACCTGAATTTTCAATATGTTTTCAAAGACATATTTATGTTGTTTGTCACAGAGGCTCTCCAGGCTGATTAAGTCTTCACAAGAAATCTTTTTAATGCTTAATTGCCCTAATATGCAAATATAGAGACTTTGAGGAAATGCTCGTCATTTTGATTGTTTTGTATCATATCACCTGTTTTATATGGCCTTCATCAAACATCCAAAAGACAGTCAAAATTCGGAAACTTAAATAAAACAAGACAGACTGCATCAGAAAGCACATAAAGACATATAGAAACTTTTAATGTATTATCTACCTGATGTTATGTTGATATTGCCTGATGCTTTCCCTGCTTCAATAGCATCATTAGCCAATGAACCACTTGACCCAGTATTAGCTAATCTTTGTCTTTCTTTCTCTTCTAAACTACCATACTGTATAACTTTATCTTTTTTAATAATATGTATAACATCTTCATCATCATCTGACATTTCAGACATCTTTATCTAAAAAAAAAAACAATGTATAGACATCTTTATCTAAAAAAAAAACAAACATTATACAGACATTTTAGACATTTCTACCTAAAAAAAACATTGTACAGACATCTTTATCTAAAAAAAAAAAAAAAACAATGCACAGACATCTATATCTAAAAAGAAAATTGTACAGACATCTGTATCTAAAAAGAAAATTGTACAGACATTTTCATTTACAAAAAAACACATAGACATCTATATTTAAAAAGAAAATTGTACAGACATCTGTATCTAAAAAGAAAATTGTACACCCATCTTTATCTAAAAAACATTGTACAGACATCTTTATCAAAAAAAAAAAAACATTGTACAGACATCTTTATCAAAAAAAAATTGACCTCTTTAGTTAAAATAGCACAGTTCTGATATGTTTCTTTGTGTATGATTCATGGACAAGAAAGAATGAAGCATTATTACTATTTGACGACAATTTTATCCATTGGAATTAGCCGGCGTACCACAATTTTATTCTGTATTGATTTTGAATATTTTTATGAAATCAAATTGAAAAGAGAAAACTACATTCTGACATGTTTAAAGAGGAGTCAGCAAATAATCAGGCCCCACATTTCTAGGAATGATATTCAAATTACTCAAAACTAAAAAAATAATTGAATTTAACTAAAAATGGTTAAAAATATTACATTTTATTTATGTTTGTTGACGATTTAAAATGTGACTCTGGGCGCTGACATCTTGAAACTCGCGAGATCTCGAAGCACAAGAAAATATATAAAGGCAGGTACAGGATATTTAATAAAGAACTGTTAAACAATAATTATACTCGACCGCCCTGTTACTATTGCCATCAACTTAAATTGATGAAAAAGTTGACTAAAAATTCGACTTTTTATATGACCAAGTAAATACTAGAACTAGAAGATTAATATGTTGAGAAGAGATCCCACAAGAATAGAATTAAAGATAGATGATTTAGAAGAATATAATAATATGAAAAAAGAGAGTTTAGAAGCTGATTCCAAAACCAAAAGTGCATGTAGTGATGGAACAAGTGCAACACCAGCACAAGATTCATTTGATTTTGGATTACCTTTAAGAACTAGAACTGAAATAATTCATTCTAGAATTGGATATGATCCTAAACCAACGCCTACCTCAAGTGGTTTACCTATTCATCGATAGCTAATTGTTTAAATACATATTCTCAGAAATTAACAGCTCAGGTTAGACCTAAAAGGCTAAACACTAATAGGCATACTTATGAAGAATAAAGTGTAAAATGACATGTATTTCTCTTTAAAACACAAGAAACATGGGTGTGAATTTTTTTTAAAGAACAACAGCTTGTGATCTAGTTGAAGATTTTAAATAGGATGGAAGCATTATAGATATAATTTATAAATATATATTTGTTTAATCATGAAATTGTTGCCATAATAATCCATAAAACTATGTGCCACTGTTAACAAATAACATTAACATTAATTTACTTTTTTTTTTTTTCTTTTTCTTTTTTTTTTGGCTCAAAGAGCAATTGACCTGGGTCACAAGATACTTTTGATAAAGAATGTTGCTTATTGAATAGTATTTGTGAAAAATGATGTCAAATTTATTTGACGGGACGTAAAAAGTTCTTCGACGTTAGAAGATATAGCCCAATAAAATATTAGAAAAAGAGATATTAAAGTTTGCTTAAGTTGTTGAGTAAAATGGATATTTATAAAGATAAAATTGAGTACTGGTGTTGTAAGATGGATCCTGTTTAATAGAAAATGATGATAAATGTTTGTTTATTGACATGTGAAAAATTAAACAATGGTAATTGTAATTTTTTTTTTTTTAATTATCAATAAAAATGGAAAACTGCTTTATTAAAGTGTTTGGTGCTGTGATTTTAGTAAGTCATTTACTAAAATTGAGTAAAATGAATTTAAATCTTGTTGAGATTTTTTACTAGCGGTATAATTAAAAATTATTTTGAAAATTATCAATCGATTCAAATTTGAACCTTTTAAAGCTTAGATAAGAAAAATTGTAAGTTTGGGAATGGGGCTTAAAGCAAAATAATGGTGAACATCAACACATCAGCTTTGAGAAATTATATTATTGTGTTCTGTCATATAAAAGTAGAGACAGAGTTACCTCCCAATAATCATTTTTATCCTTCGTCTTTCACAACCAGAATGAGTTTAAAACACAAAGTATGGAGTTCTATTTCATTCCAACTTATCCTACTGTTTGAATGAAAAAGAGATAAAAAGAAAAGAAAATAGAATTGCTCAAGATACCAAATCATTGTAATTGATTGTGTCATGAATTCAATGGCATCAGTAGTATCATCTGGGATATGTCAGAGTTCCATGGAATGTACCTTTTGGATTCAATTGACACTTTGGATTCGTGGTTACACATGCGCATCAGACAATTTTTTCCAAGATGGCAGCCCCCATTGGAACATAAACAATATACATGGAAATTTAGTTCAATTTCTTGATTAAACTTCCCTGTCTTTCTTTCTTCCTATATGTCTGAACATTAGTGTTATTTATGCATCTGTACATTGACTAATGTAAGTTTTTTAGGCTACCAATCGGCATATCGACTTGTCACTTGTCGGTAAAGCGAATTTTACCGATTTAAAGGGACAGTTGTTCAGTTGCGGCATTTTTGAAGGTAGATTTGAGCCTTGGATAGATTAAAATAGTCTTCAGAAATAGTTACTAGAAATTACGAAAATGGCATAATACTTTTAAAAATACTTCAAACTGGGTATTTTACTCACTAATGTCTTTTCTGAATATCACAGAGTATCTTATCTTGACAGTCATCATTTTAAAGTGATACAGTCAAGTAACCTAATTTCGTGGAAACCTATTATTCGTGGATTTCCGGAAATGTTTAATAATTTACCTCCGCATTAGATTGTTTTGATAAACATGGGTTTTCTGTACAATATCAGCTAGTAGAATGAATCCAGTAGTTTCAAGCAAGGTAAAATGTACTTTGACAAATACAAAATGGCGGATTTCAGTTATTACCAAACGTCACCACTTTTTATCGGCCGAATTTCCTTATAATCCCAAACGGTAATCGGAATTCCAAGTGTCGTCTGCTAGAATGTATTCCAATGAATGAAGTCACGTGATCAACTAGCGGATTCCGTGTCAGCAGAAAATTTCTATGGAACACATTGTTGTTTCAGTGACTTTTAGCAATAAATCATGCTACGTATCTTATTTTGTCAGTCACTTTTTTTTTTAAATCGTGCTTCTTTGAAGGAATTGTCACTAGTTATAATGAATTGATATTAAAGATAAATACTAAGAGAAGTTAATTATACCACCCGTATCCATACAACGTGTTTTTCTAGACTTATTTATAGATTAAACATTGTACACAAAAATAGGTGACACATTCTGCCGCCGTTGCCGAGTTGGTTGCTCATGAAATATGGGTCAAAGTGAAGGATTCATAAAGAGAATCGAAATAAACCAATTTTAATTATTTTGTAGAATATCTGAGGAAACATCTAAGACATAAAAAAAAATTTCGTTTTTTTAACTTTGACGAAATTCGGTGTTCAATCCTTATATCCACGAAAATAGGTTACACCACGTCTTAGAATTAACATAAAATTTAAGAATTTTAAACTTGGTGAATAAGAGCCAGTAGATATGCCTGGTGTCATAAATAACATAACAGGATCCTTATATAATCCGATAAATCCAACAAATTTAGTAATTATCCATAAATATGCAATTAACTATTGAAAAACGCTTAATATCAAGATTAACCTTTTTTCATTAATTACTTAGATTTATGAATTTTCCAATTTTCCAGATTTTACAGGGATTCTGTGGTAACTTTATGACACCAGGTAAGCTAACTGATGAATATATACTCATATTGACCATTCGAGAACTTAAATTTTATGTTCATTCTAAGATGTAGTATCACTTTAACATACAAACACGGATAATTTTGAACACACATGGATTTAAAGGCTCAAATTTCGACGTCATTTTCGTACTTTTCTAGTACTTCTGAAGACTTATTTACATATATTCAAGACTAAAATCAACCCCCAAAAATAGCCCACCAGTCCCTTTAAACATATTTTATTACAAAAATTGTGATTTGACAGAAGAAGTTGCAAAATGTACAAAAATGCCATTTCCTAATATGGGCATATAAGCTCCAAAATACTTTTGATGTTCTGGGAAAGATTTGTGTCCAGCATTATCCTATCAACATGCTAAAGGCGATAACGCATGCACAGAGTGTGAATGACATGCCTTGCCTAATCGCATTTGTACTATCATAAGTCTATTCCTATCATAAGTCAGTTCATGACCTCATTTGATCAGTGATCAAATAAAAGAGAGTTTTTATTAGGTTTTAAATTTCAAAACTTTTATTTTATCTATGCAAAGTCATTCTCAAAGCAAATGCAAACTATTAACTATATGTAAATAGTGCAAAAGTGTCAAATTTTTTGTGTCGGACTGTTTTCAATTTTTGACCTGATCTGTGTACTTTTTAGGGCTCAAAATGATAATTATGTACTGACCTATTTTAAAGTGTGCAAAAATGGCAGAGCAAAGTGATCTTTTGTTTGATTTGCTGGAAACAGGAAGTTGTGGTCATCATGAAATGATACCCTATCAAGAAACTATACAACATCATATTTTACCTCATTCCACGGTGAGTTTTTGTTTTGTAAACAGGGTATTTTTTTTATTGATTTAATTCAATTGCTCATTTGTTTGGTTTGTTTCATGTTTATTTTATGCCAGTTACTCCATTTACCATCAAACTTTATTTTTTCAGAATTAATTGTTTTAGAAGGTGAGAATGATATGTAATTGATATTCATTCATTAGATTTGGTCAAAACTTCAAAACACTCAAACACAGTCAAAATAAATTTGAGAATGGGTACAATGCCTAAATTCTTTAAGAAGAAGAATTTGAATATTTTAATTGATGTCTGTGTTTTCTTTGTTTCATTTATTGAAAAATAACAAGTTTTATCTAGAAATATTAATTGTAGAGTCTTAGTAAGTGAATAATAGTTTTAAGATAATTTATTGTCTTAGTAAGTGAATAAAGTTTTTAAGATAATTTATTTCTACAGTTACCAAATGGAATTCCTCCAGTGTTACCAAAGTTAAATGATCAATTAGAGGAATATCTAAAATGTTTAGAAGATTTACCAATACATGATATAAATAGAGCTCAAAGGTTATTACTTTTCTTTTTAGTTTTTTCCAATTTTCCAAGTACTATTTTTGTATATAATCAGTAATTGAAAAGAGCAAAAGAAAATTAAGTCGTGACAATTTTTTATCTTGATCTTTATGGTTTATATTTTAATGAAGAAGGAGCTATGCATAAAGTCAAATTCTGCTAATAAACATCTTTTGTAAAGCTGTAAACAGGTCTATCAGCTGATAATATTTTTTTTTATAGATGTTGGTCTCGTGATAAGAAAGCTGAAAGATTATATTCTGTTGATGTCTGTCCTGTTCAAACCACAATACAAGTTGATCGTAATCCAACTACAGGGCAACTTATTGGTTTTAAAGAGGTATATCATTTCAAGAAAATATATTTCTTCATTACAAAAATACTTTATAAACTTTCACATGGCATTTAAACTGTTCAAATGTTTCCAATCCTTTTAACTGGAATATATATTTTCTGATAATATTCATTACAATCAGATAAACACTGCAGTTTTTACATTGCAAATATAGTCAATTTAAGAATCAAATTATTGGGATTTTATTTCCCCGGAAAATTTAAGAATCATAGTTCATGTAAGTGGAATTTTTGTAATAATGTCTTACTTATACTATTGTAGAGTGGTATAAAAGATATTGGTAAATTAGCCAATAATTCATTATCATTACATAGAACACCAGGTAATAATTATGATGATATACGTGGCAGTACAACCAATTACCCATTTTGGCCAGGTATGTGGTCTTTTCATTAATTTTTATAAAAAAAAGAAACAACTGTATTTTTTAGGGAAAAAAAACTTCCAGTAGTTCACAATGGATTCCTTGGCATTATTCTTTCTTTAATTATTGATGTACCCATTTACAGTCAGGTTATCTGGTATTATGTGTAAAGATGACTGCCTTAGATTAGAACCCACGACTACTATGTGTTTGTTATCAAGAAAATGACATGACATAAAAAACTAACACCCTGTTGACGGTGCTACATAACCATATATGTGTCAGAGAGTGATGATAATGTAGGAGATTTATTTAATTACTGTATCTTTTGACTGCTGCATGAAAAAGTGCAAAACATAAAATTTAATAAGAAATATATTTATGTCAACTACTCTTATTTGTTTATTGTAGGTGGAATGGATGAACCAATAATAGACAATATTAATCAGACTGATAGTCAATTAGGTCTGAATTTATCTACAGGTAATATTTTTAAATTTCTCTGAATATTTAGTGAAATTATCCACTTTAAATTGAATGCTGTCGAGAATGCAAATTTAGCATGAGATTCATCAGTAATAAAATGAGGGCATTTGATTTTAGACATATTCCTTAAAAAGATGCACTTGTCTAAATATATTTACATTTACAGGATTCAAATCTGACATCAGGTTCTTGTTCAACAAATATGCACTGCATCAATTTAGACTTCCAAGGCAATGTTAACATGGGGAGATATTACCAATGACTTCATTATATCAGTAATAATGTAAGAAGGAATAGATAATGCCTTATAGAAGTAACACCAATTCAAATAAGTGAGGTACTTTTTCGTGATGAAATGAGGAGAAGCAGACACTAGATTTTCAATCTAACAATGGCAAGAGCTATGTGAAATTGAATGCTATCACAGGGCATAGCATCTATCCCATGAACTTTATGAGGTCTTACATTTATTATTTTAGAGTTATTGAGTACTGCTCCTAACATGCCAGCTGGTATGGTATTTAAAGAGAAAGAAGAAAGTATAGATAATTTTAACACTAAAGAAGATGTTAACATCAATAAACTAGTAGATATTCTGGCTTTAGATGATTTTGATATAGATCTAGGTGATAGTGATGATGACAATCATAATGAAGAGGTAATAGAATCAACTATTTTGAAAGTTTTGACACACATACTTACATAGGGCTTGGCAATAAACAATACACATTAAATAGGGGTATAGGAATTTATTGTTGATAATATGCCTCATTGAAAAATACCGAAATATAATACCTATCATTTATCTTCAAATTTTTCTCCATATTAGATCATAGACACTTACCAAATTACTTGATATTTGAAACCAATGATATAGGTGTATTGTACATAATTATTTTCTTAAATTTTTCATATAGAATGAATACTTTTTTTTTCAAAAACCGATAGAAAACATACCTAAGAAATATTGCTATATATATATATATATATATATATATATATATATATATATATAATGATATATCAATAATATATATTGTGATATCAGTGTGTAAAAATCTTATGGCCTTGAATAAGTCTTCACTCATAATTACAGTCAACCTAGCTGTAAATGGGTATTGATAACCCAAAAAAGATTAATGCCAAGGACTGGCTGGTAGAAAGGATATTGAACTGTCAACCTAAGTTGAGATATAGATGTTTCATTCTTTCCTTCTTTTGAACTTATATTGTCCAGCCCTACATATTTAGTGTGTCCAGTTTTTCAATTTTTTTCATATGCTCTTCAGTGTGTACTCTTTGTGTGTATGTTCAATAGCTGTAGATATTTACTTTGTTCAATTTTGTTTTCACTTAAGGAGGTAAAAGAATTATTAAATAGTTCTGTGAATGAAGATTTGGAAAAACTAGTCCAGGTAAGTGTTATGTATTAGAAATTGCTATTGTGTTACAGTGGATGTATTTCAAGAAATATATCTAAATTAATTTGGTTCTGAAATGTCTAAGTGATAACTAATAAAAACAAGTAAATTCATTTAAATGAATTGTATAGTAACCTATATTGATCTTCTTTAAGAATTTAAACAAAATTTGAATCAGAAAATTCACAATTATAGTGATCAAAATTTCATTCATCTTTTGAATCAAAACACTTAAAGCATATAAAGATCAATGATTTATGATTTGCTTAGCTTGAGGAAAAAGGAGATGAAATCAAACCTAAAGTGACTCCAGTGAAAGAAGAATGGGCTATTAAGATAGATACCAATCATCCTGTAGATGATTTTTATAAGAGAATACCACAGATGGCCAAAACAGTAAGTTACAGCTTTCATTTGATTCTTTTTCTCAGGTTATATATTGCTATGATTTAAAAGTGTATTAAAATCTCTATTTACATCTGTGCTGTATGGCAAAAGTCACAAATAAATCTTAACTGCCTCTCTGGGTGACTCTCCGGGCGTCTCTCCGGGTGTTGCAAAATGGACATATATGGAATTGCGATAACCACAATGGTTGTCCAACTCCATTTTAGAAAAAAAGGAATTACCTTGAAAAGGCATAGAAATAAAGAATGTTACAAAAAGATGAGCAACAATTCTTTTCTAGTACAATCAGACACAGTTATTGAAGTACTTTATTTAGGTATTTATTAGGAATTTAGGTAAACAAATACAATATTTATCTGTTCCTACAAGATGTTTACATGAGATGATAATATATTGACATTATGATTCTTGTATTTCAGTGGCCATTTGAACCAGATATCTTTCAAAAACAGGCTATTTTACATTTAGAGAATAAAGACAGTGTATTTGTTGCTGCTCATACGTCAGCAGGGAAAACAGTCATAGCTGAATATGCCATAGCTCTTTCATTAAAACATATGACTAAGTGAGTTATTGAATGAATATAATTTTTTTTTATATCAAAGATACTTGATTTTTTTCTCTGTTTACAATTCTTCATAGAAAATACCAACCATATTTTATGTATTACATACTAGTCATTTACAAAGTTTATCATATTTGAATTATCTTTGTTTCACATCTTAATTTAAGTGAATTGATAAGTTTTCTATATATATTGGTATTTTCAAAGCCTGTAAATCAAAAATGGAGTACAAGATTAATTGTGATTTATTAATTAAAATTCATGAAATATTATAGGACAATCTATACATCACCAATAAAAGCTTTATCTAACCAAAAATTTCGAGATTTTAAACAGACATTTACTGATGTTGGTTTAGTAACTGGTGATGTTCAGTTAAATCAAACAGCTTCATGTCTTATTATGACTACAGAAATTCTCAGGTAAATTGTTTTATTTGTCAAAATTATAAAGATAGTTAAAGCATAGTTAGAAGCTATAAGAATTCTCCCTGTAATCTACAATAAACCTGTTGGATATTACAGTGTTTATATAAGATATTAGAACTTTTTTATATTTTATTATAGATCTATGTTATATAATGGTAGTGATATCATAAGAGTATATATTTTATTATAGATCTATGTTATATAATGGTAGTGATACTATAAGAATTTATATTTTATTATAGATCTATGTTATATAATGGTAGTGATACTATAAGAGTATATATTTTATTATAGATCTATGTTATATAATGGTAGTGATACTATAAGAGTATATATTTTATTATAGATCTATGTTATATAATGGTAGTGATACTATAAGAGTATATATTTTATTATAGATCTATGTTATATAATGGTAGTGATATTATAAGAGATTTGGAATGGGTTGTTTTTGACGAAGTACATTACATAAATGATTCTGAGGTATCATCACATTTTTATTTTATCTCATTCAAAAATGAAATTGAGGTGCAATAACTCATTTGGTGTTAAAAATTTATATTATTTAAGTATACAAAAAAACTCTTATTCTTAGGACCTAATTCTTATGAAAATTCTGAATATTTGCCAACTTGAAATGTTTATTTAGCTCAAGGTCAGCTCAAATACTTAGATATACCTCTTCTAGCTTGTCCTTCAAAGATACTTTAATTGTTTGAAGGCACTAAAAATAGTTTATTGTTCTTCTGTATTTTGTTTTTATAGAGAGGTGTTGTATGGGAAGAGGTACTAATTATGTTACCACAACATTGTAATGTTATATTATTGAGTGCTACGGTACCAAATACTATGGAATTTGCTAACTGGGTAGGGTAAGTAGCTAGAATAAATAGTCATAAAAACTACACACTAATTTAGAGAAGATCTGAAGATTAAGATAAATTATTGATGATAATAATTTGGTAAACAATTTAAATTGAGAGATATCGGAATGATGTGCTACTATTTTCATAATCATGCAGTTAGTTTCTTATTATGTTACAAGTAGATTATGTACTTCTAAAACAAAAAACAAACATGTTTATTTTCCAGACAAATAAAACGTAAGAAGATTTATGTTATAAGTACTCCTAAACGTCCAGTACCATTAGAACATTATCTATATACTGGTAATAGTAATAAAACTAATAATGAACTCTTTTTATTAATTGATGAAAAAGGCAATTTTCTAACTACAGGGTAAGTTTTACTCATGAATCTTCAACTGAGTATGATATTTATTACAGGAATTCAAAAGAAGTTTGCTAGACATTTACTGTATCAGAGAAGTTTGAACTATTCAGGTTTGCTCTCTGTGATTATGGTTTCTGTAATTCCAGACTAAATTTTGTCTTATACCTTGAAAGTTGAATATTTGTTTAATTAAGATGTCATGATCTGGTCTTATTCATTATAGATATCTCTAAAAATGTAAAAATTATTTATTGCTGGAATTGAACACAAACTACATTTTGGTGCTCTGTTTTTGAATGGAAGTTAAGGGTTGGTTTTGTCTTTTTGAAGTAATATTTCAAATATTTAACTGACGGTTATAACATCAAGAATATAAAGTAACATATTAATGATCTACAGTAATTGTTTGTTTGTGTACTGTTATAGATATAATAAAGCTATGGAAGCTAAGAAAGAAAGAGCAACTAAAAGATCTCAGAGTTTTGGTGCCAAAGTTAATAGAGGTGCTAATCCATCTCAGGTAAATATTAATAACTTTAACTATTTAAAGGCATCCTATTGTTTTGGTATTACACTTCTTGTAAGAATGTTTGAATTATTGAATTATAAATTGTTCAAAACAGAATTGTGGTAGTTCAAATAGTTAGATTTAATCCTTTCCTTAAGTGTACAAAAGATAGTATGGTACCTTTTTTTTTACAGTTAAAGAGGCTTAGTAGACTAGACTAGACTAGGCTAGTGTTATTCTATGTACTCATGAATACTTATAAATGATTTTTAAGGAAAAGAATATATGGCTATCTGTGATAGAAATGTTAAAAAAGAAAGATAAATTACCAGCTGTAGCCTTTACATTCTCTAAAAGAAAAATAGATGAGAATGCCTATCATTTACAGAGTTTAGATTTAACTTCTACTAGTGAGAAAAATGAAATTCATGTCTTCTTCCAAAAATCTATTAATAAGTTGAAGGCTCCAGATAGAACTCTACCACAAGTAAGTTGATTATAATTATTTGATATTCAATTGTGTTATGACCAAGAGGTATATTAACTAGGGCAGGGCGATATACTGGTATCATGATAATTACCGCTATAGGAATTGATATCGTTAGTAATATCGCGTGATTGAAATATATCAAAATATCACCATATCGTGATATACAGTAGTTACATGATAAATATCGCCAAATGTTTTTTTCTAGATAAGATCATCTACATGATTTTAACAAGTTACTTAATATTTGAAACATGTTTTTTTCAAACTTATGTCATTACAGGTTATATTAATGGCTGACATGTTAAAACATGGTATTGGTGTACATCATAGTGGTATATTCTGATTTCTGTTCTAATAGTATAATATATAACACAGTGTTTATATTATTACAGGTTATATTAATGACTGACATGTTAAAACGTGGTATTGGTGTACATCATAGTGGTATATTCTGATTTCTGTTCTAATAGTATAATATATAACACAGTGTTTATATTATTACAGGTTATATTAATGACTGACATGTTAAAACGTGGTATTGGTGTACATTATAGTGGTATATTCTGATTTCTGTTCTAATAGTATAATATATAACACTGTTTATATTATTATAGGTTATATTAATGGCTGACATGTTAAAACGTGGTATTGGTGTACATCATAGTGGTATATTACCCATATTAAAAGAAGTTGTAGAAATGTTATTTGGTAGAGGTCTTGTAAAGGTAATTTATTATATTTTGTTCATGGTTATCATTAGCCAAGTTTAACAAGTATCTAAGCATAATTGTTTTTTGAGTGTTATGCTGTCAAGGTTTTTCCAATGTTTAATGAAGTGAATTATGACTTTTGTTTCCAGATCTTATTTTCAACAGAAACATTTGCAATGGGTGTTAATATGCCAGCTAGAACTGTGATATTTGATTCTATAAGGAAACATGATGGAACCAACTTTCGGAACTTATTACCAGGAGAATATATACAGATGGCAGGACGAGCTGGTAGACGTGGTCTAGATACTACTGGTACAGTTATTATATTATGTAAAGGAGATGTTCCTGAAGCTTCTGAACTACATCTTATGATGTTGGTGAGTCATCGCAATCATACTTAATGTAGATTGCTTCAGAAAATAAATTCAGCTCTGTGTTCTAAAGGCTTTGCATGTTTTAGTTGTTAATCGAGAAAAGGTGTTGCTCATCTTTACAAGATTTTACAGCAATTTTTTTTATAAAATACTATTTCCAAAGTAAATTTTAAAATGATTTCTATTACAGGGCAAACCAACCAAATTAGAATCTCAATTCCGTTTGACATATTCTATGATACTGAATTTGTTAAGAGTTGAACAGTTACGTGTTGAAGACATGATGAAAAGAAGTTTTTCTGAATTTCACAGTCAGAAAGATACAAACAAACATAAAGAAGCTCTAGAGTTATTAAATAAAGATATAGCACTTATAAAAGATATAGAATGTTTCATGTGTTCTGTGGATTTAGAGAAATATTATGAAGCCTGTAGTAATTATTTACAACTTAAACGTGAATTACAGGTAAGTTGGTTTATAAACATTGATGATGAGATGTATAACAGGTTCTTATTTCCCCAAGGTGCTTAAGTTAATACAGAAAACAATCTTACGCAAATTCTTACGAGCTTGATGTGGATAATACTGGGGTATATATTGATATTGAATAATGTGAGGTAGAGCAACGTTTAAAGTTTGGTTTCAGCAATGTTATATATTCTAAAAGTGAGGTGAAATATAGTTTCCTATTTTTGTATTTCAGTTGTTGATATTGACTCATCCTATAGCAATGAAATCATTAGGTCCAGGCAGAGTAGTAATCATAAACAATTCCAAATTAAAGTTTGTGCTAGGTGTAATACTAAACACTTTTACTGGTGACCAAAATGTACGACTGTTTACTGTGTTGGTACTGTGTGAAAAAAACTCAGATAATGAAGAACATGAGAGTAATAGTAACTATAATACTATGACTATAACACCTATACTAGCAAATAAACTCTACCAACCAGATGGACCATGCAGTAGTAAAATAGAAACAGTTAGAGGGGATGATATAGATGTTATTACAGTTAAAACTATTAAAGTAGAACCTGATAAAATCATTGCTGATATCAAGAAAAGACAACAAGCCAGATTTAAGTATGTTTTATTTTAATCCTGATTAATCTATAGCATTTAATTCAAATTTTACCTTTTCTCTAAGAATTGAAGAATCTACACTTTCCAAAATGTTTTTAAAATAATTTTACCCAAGTGACTTCTTTTGAAGATTTTTGACAAATAGGATCATCTACTTAAAGAGATTGTTAAGAGGTTTTGGTGTATTGGAGACGCTGATAGCATCAATTTGCAATATTCAAATTTTCAGTCAGACTTCTTGCAATTTCACTAAAACTAAGCATTTTGTGATGATATTATCATACATGCCCTTGAATATTATTAACAGATTTTGTAATAGTGAGGTCATAAATACTAAGTTTTAGTGGAATTTTAGGAACCACAGATGTCTGACTGAAAATAGAAATGGTGTAAATTGATGCTATCAATGTCCTGAATATACAAAAAATTAAGAAAATCTCTTTACAATCGGTTGATAATTTGCATGAAAATTTCTCGTTCTATCTTGCAGAGATAATCCACCAAGTAAATCAGTATCAGTCGTTACTCAGGAATTATTGAGATTAACAGAAGCTAATCCTAAAGGATTAAAAGGCTTAGATCCAATAAAAGATTATAGGATTAAAGACATAGATTATATGGAACAGTTCCGATCTTTGGAGTACTTACATGATTCTTTTAAAGATTTCCAATGTGTTCATTGTCCCAACTTTCTTGAACATGTAAGTAAATAACAAAGAGACTATGTTATGAGGCTGTGAACTTGTTGGCTTTTTCTTTTAATTGAGGAAGTATCTTAGCCCAAATTTCACTCAAGAGAAGAATAGTTTCTAGTGCCTGTCAATAATTTAAAGGGTTGATTGAGTTTTCATTTAAAGTATCAAGGTAGACCAGGTACAATGAAATACTACAAGACAATTGTACTCACTACTTCTGTTTTCTATCATATTGACAATAACTATCCATTCCCACCTGTAATTTGTTGTGGATAGATGTACGAATTTTTGATAGAATGCTTAAACACGCTATTCCAGATTCTCAGTGTCAAGCCAATTTATCTATGCAAAATGGATTGAGATTGTGAACTATATGTTAATTTTATATAGGCAGTTTATTGAATTTTTAAATTTGATAAGTTTGTTATTTTCATTATTATAGTTTAATGAAATAAGAAAGAATATGGAATTAAAAATGAAATATAAAGAATTAAGATATCTCTTATCTGATGATAGTTTAATTTTATTACCTGAATATCAACAAAGGATAGAGGTAAAATTTTTATTCTCTATATATTCTAATAACTGGGTTCTAATAACTGGGAAGTTAAATATCATTTTGAAATTCAATACCTAATACAACTTAATACAACTTGTGTACGGCAGATCCCGAGGAAAACTTAGTCAAGTTAGAGAAGTACCATGTGTTCAATGGCCATTGCTATATTAGGACCTTAACATTTGGAAATCAAAAAGTGAAAAATGGACATTGTATTTTTTGTTTTGAGTTACCTATCTGCACAAGCCTTCTCAAGCCCCAAAAAATTAACAAAACTGCTTTTTAATTGTAACTAATTATAATTAATCTTATTTTAAAGGTATTAAGAGCATTGAATTATATAGATGAACATAACACAGTACAATTAAAGGGTAGAGTAGCTTGTGAAATAAGTACACATGAGTTGATTATTAATGAATTAGTGTTTGAGAATATTTTAACAGATCTTCACCCAGCTGATATAGCGGCCATCTTGTCATGTATGGTGTTTGAACAAAAACAATGTGTATCACCAAACCTTACCACAGAATTAGAAAAGGTAGGGGGCTATATTATAGTTATATTATGAAAGATGCAGTGTCCAGTGCAGTGTACTGTATTTCCCATAATATATTTCAGAAAAAGACATTTTTAGACTTTTTTCAGACATCACAAATAAAATAGTTGGATGGGGATAATTTCAGTTTCTGTCTCAAATACATGTAATGTTTTATTCATAGTTTATTCTGTATTTGTAGGGAAGAGATCATATAATAAAAATCGCTACCAAGATCAGTGATCTACAAAAATCATTTGGTATACAAACAGAGGATGATTATGTAGAAAAATTCAAATTTGGTTTAATGGAGGTTGTTTTTGAATGGGCAAGAGGACTGGTAAGTTATGGAATTTTTGTCCTGAATGGAGGGATACTTTCCTCAAGCCAGAAAGTTTAACTTGGCTCCTGATTATCTTTCTGACCTCAAACACAATTACAGACTTAACTCTTAAGATCTGAAATTTATCCTAGAAATTCCTGAAGCAATTCCCTCATGGAAAAGAGCTTGAGGGTAGTGAACTTGTACTTGCATATAAATATTGATATACATGTACTATATATTCAAGATATCTTGACTGGTGTCTGGTGTGAAAAAGAAAATAGGAATGCGTCCAGTGGCTTGTCTATACTCTATGTACATCCTACCTCATGTATTTCAATCTGTTTCATGTTCCCTTAAATATTAATTATTATTAATATGCACTCTTATTATTTTTAGCCCTTTGCTGAAATAACCAAATTAACTGATGTACAAGAAGGTATTATTGTACGATGTATACAACGTTTACATGAAACATTACGTGATGTTAGAAATGCTGCTAGAATAATTGGTGATCCTGTTTTATATCAGAAAATGGAAGAGGCTTCAAACATTATTAAAAGAGACATTGTTTTTGCTGCTAGTCTTTATACTCAATAGTTGACAAAAAGATAACTGACATGAGCTTACTTAACTATAACTATTAACTCTAATTAAATTATAAAACAGTGGACACTCTAGAGTCATTTTCAACAAGGTATAACAAAGTTCATCTTATAACTTGATATCATTTTCTTTGTTTTGGTATATTAAACGATTGCCAGTTTCTTAGTACAGGAATCATGACAAATGATATTTCTAATCTTAATTGAATTGAGGAAGATAACCTGTGATACAAATAATTTTTAAACAAAATGAATTTTTATGTTTATTTCAAAAAATTAAAATTGCAATTATTAACAGTTTAACTCATAGTATCGATGCATTGTGCTGCATAGAAATAATTATGCAGTTACAGTTTTGGTCTTTTACAATTGAAATATTTAAGTAAATTTCAAGTGATAATTCAGAAAATAGGTTTCCAAATAACTGTTTGTTTTTATAACTTGTTGAATTATCAATTGGAAAAGAGTAATATATGAACCAACTGGTGATTGTGATGTTACTACTAAATATGTAGCCTATGGATTTTTGTAAGTCATCAGGAATCTTTGTATACATTAAAGTTAAAATATCAATGCATTTAGACTATATTTATTAGAACAAATTAATGAAATGACCCCATTACAAATATAATTTATTTTGGAAATAGAATCTATTCCCCATTTGATTTGTTATTATTTGTTATTTTATGCACTGAATGAAATATTGTTTGTTATTGGTGATTGTATATTCATGTGTTCTGTTTATCCCTTCAATTTAAATGGGATGTAAAACTCAAATAAAACTTAAATGCTTAATCCTATGGTTATTTTCCAAATCTAATCCAATGTGTTAATCTGTGAATGTCTTGGATCATTCTGATAATGATAAAATATTTCCATTGAACCTAACTATGGAAACTTCAACTTCAGTTAAATTTTTAAGGGAGAGGTTCACCATCCATTTGACCAATCATGCCTTAATCTCAGAAACAAGCTTAGCTAACCAGTTATAGTGTTCACATCTTGAGTCTCTGATTCCATGTGTGTCCAGAATTTTCTCAGATTTAAAGTAATATTGACTACTCGTCTTTTCTTCAGATTCTTAATCTCTTATGTAGAAAGAGACAGAATTTTTATTTTGTTTGAGGTAAATATGAAGGGCTTTGTATGGAAGAGACTCTTGACTTAAATCACAAATATGTCTAGAAAACTGGAATACAAACTTAATAGAATCAAAGGAAATGAATTTGAATTATCACATCTGGGGAGATTCACACGATAATAAATGCAATTGAAGGGGATCCATTTTAAATGGTAAATCGGCCCACTTGGGTTTGGTACAACAATATTACCCTAAATGATTTACTACAAACATCACTATTCGCTTCGCGGAAAATATTGACCCATTTTCTTATCATAATACTCTCCAACCCATATCACGTGATTTCTGCTAAACATCTGACGCAAATACAGCAAATAGACGCCATATTTAATGCAGATGAGCCTATATTTCTGAATATTATCTACAATTTTACCTACAAAACAACTTAATTTGATTCGAAACTCTGAAACTAAACATTCCTCTTTGTTTGGTTGAGTGTGGTCTGTGAAGGACGCCGCAGCGGTGCAAGGTCATGGCCGAAGCTTTCTTGAGGAATGACAACTACGATTTCTTCATCAAAGAAATTTGGGTAAATTTGTATCGATTTGTTGCTGGATATTTCAGACATCAACTTTATCAGTGAGTATACAATATTGCACAGTGATTAACGCCTTTAAAGTGTATTAATTAATCATTATAGCCAAACGAAGCCTTTGTTATGAACAGAAGCATGTTCCCCTGCCCAAATGGCCTTCACTTTATTTTATATGGGTCGTGAGCTTTCAGATATACTGACTCATTTCTGGGTTATAAAACCACCTTTTCTTAACTGTTCTTGAGTTTATAGTATAATTTTTGATTAAATCTTTCAATGTTAACTCTGTGCAATAACATTTTCCATGTTTCCAATTCACAATTTTCTTGCTTATGTTTGTTTTTACATATGTAAACAAATTGATAGAAGTCCATGACCTTTACAGAGACCTTGACTTATCAATATTTCCAATGTTTGAAATGAGAAAATATCTTATTATCTTTAGCTTTGAAATTGATTGTTCATCTGATAGTAACTGTTGAAGATTAATTAGGTTTTATTTCTTAGCTATTACTAAAGCCTCTAGATCTAGCCTATAAGCTTTTGTATCTTTTCTGACTAGGCACTGAGTAGTGACTGCTTATGTACCTGTGACTATGGACTGTGGCTTGTTTCTTGTTTTTTATAGGAAATATTGCAATATTGCTAGGTTGTTGATTATTTTTAAAATGCTTTAAAGTATATTACCCACATAATCTTGAATTATTAGTCAAGAGCTAACTATTATGCTTTAGAGCTAAAATAAAACCTTCATATGTGGAAATAAAAAAGTGGGTCATTATTAGTTTATTTACAAAACTTTACATTTACATAGAAAGAATTAGGTTGAATGTTTAGACCCATTATGATAATTTTAGATTACTAATTTTTTTCAGAAATGAGTGGAATAAGTGAAGTGGGTATCTCCCCTGTTTTATTACAAGCTATATCTCAGACTTTAACTTCTTCGGAATCAGGTTCTACTGATAGAAGACTTTCCACAATGAACATTAAAACAGAAAACACTTCACCCACTAAGGTTGTCTCACATATTTTACAAGGTATGCATGAACCTGTAGCTAGTTTGTTACAAATGAATCCCCAGTCATCTTCAGACAACAAACTTACGATAAAAAGTGAACATTCTTCTGAAAATAATGATGTGAACATTCAAAGTTCTGATAAAGAGAGTGAACAAACAAACAGAGAAAGCAGTGGTCAAGATATGAGTATGGTAAATGTGTTGACCGCCATAGCTACACAACATTTACAAAAGAAAAATGAAAGTTCCATGGCACAAGATAGTGATGCAAGTACATTAGTTGAACAACAGGACTCTAGTACAGTCACTACTAATCCTAGTGAACATGAAGTGATTATAGAAAATGTTGATGGTACTAATACTGGACCTGAAATCAGGCTGGTTATGGAACCAAGTGAAGAGGTTGTACAAACAGCACCATCATGTTCAAGTGCATCAAAAGATGGGAATCCTGTATATCTAGTACAGAATTTACAACCTGATAGTGGTGGTAGTAAAGTACCAACTGTTAATATGGAACCTATTGGTAATCCTTGTCCTATCTGTGGGGATAAAATATCTGGTAAGTTTATAGACAAATATATTTTTTTCATTATTAGTACCAGAGTATCAATTCTTTACATTTAGTAGATCTACAGGTAGCAGATTTCTTTAACATAGTGTTTTACATATATCTATTTAGTGAGTGCACTTGTTTCTAGTGACATTTTTAAAACCAAGCCTCTTAATTCCATATTGTATGATCAATGTTGTTGTTTTAAATGTTCCAGGTTATCATTATGGTATTTATACTTGTGAAAGTTGTAAAGGTTTTTTTAAGAGAACAGTTCAGAATAACAAACAATTTGTGTGTCATAGAAACAATGATTGTGAAGTGAATATTTTTAATCGTAAAAAATGCCCAGCCTGTAGATTTATGAGATGTCTAAATATGGGTATGAGATTAGAAGGTAAATTTTGTTATAACATTTTCATTTTATTTCTCCATGATGTTTGCATGGATTGAGGGTCTCTAAACTCTATCTTGATATTCTTGAAATTTTATTACAATTTCTCTGTTAATAATAATTTGGATTAGCTTTATATGTTTCACGGTGTGTTATGACACATGATAATTGACACCTATCCATCATGTTACAGGATGTGTTACAGCTATAATCAATAGACAGTATTTGCCTGTCATGTCTGATTCAAGTTCTAAAGTAACTGCATTTTACTCTGGCCTACAGGACCAAATGAGCCATTTTTTGGGGACCACACATATCTCAATCTGACATAATCATGGAAGTCATGTAAGACCATTCCATAAAAGATTTTCAATATTGGCCCAATGTCTAACAATTCTTGTATTTTCCCATGAGTATTTACAATTTGCATTCTAGTCATTTATGAATTTATATGTGAAAATTTTTCTTTGTTTTTGTTTTTATAGCTATCAGAAGAGACAGAACAAGAGGTGGTAGAAGTTCTTATGATGGGTGTATTATACCTAAAAAACCAACACAGTTAGAAAGGAAATTAAAAAGAACTTTAACTGGAATGAAATCACCAGATGAAATGGCACTACCACTAAATATCACTGTATCAGGTGATCATAATAAAAGTCATTTGGTAGCAATATTAAACCACTCCAACCCACGGTCTAATAGTTATACTGATAACTCAGGTCCTCAAACACCAGAACTTTTGACCGATATCATGAATTTAGAGCCGTTGTTAACAGATGAAGATATTGTACAAGATAGTAATACAGATGGTAGTGAGACTCAAGAATCTATATTGAATTACCTGACACAATTAACAGAACTAAGATTATATAAATTAGTACGTTGGGCCAGAAATTTACCACAATTCGGCGCCATTTCTGTAAGTATTAGACTCTGCGGGTATCTTGAATGTCATCATGTTGAAATAAAATAAATAGTATTCGTTGCTTTCTGAATATTTTAGACATATTGAAGCATATGAAAGGATTTTGATGAAACTTAATGTATCGGTAACTATTTTTTATCACCCAAGGATGAACTCCTCCAGAAGGCCTAATTCTTACCAGAGTTTGACAAAACAAGACATCCATAATTACCCTAGGATAAACCTTATTGAAAATCGGAAAAATAAAAAAAATATTCAATAGGTTATAGCCCTTTTGTTCTTGAAAATATGTTCAATTCTAACTAGTAAACATTAAGAAGGCATAATTGTTGCTGGATTTTGACAAAACTTGATGATATTGTTCGTTATTACCCCAAAAAGGTCAAAGGAAGTGTATGACTCAAGGTTGAATATATCATACTGATGATTGATACTGTAGGTCTACTGCCAAATTATTTAAGATAAGCTGCTAGTTGGTTTATATTACATTGCTTGACAAGCTATATTTCAATATTCTTCTGTATTTTGATTGTAGACAGATGATCAGATATTATTACTACAGAGTTGTTGGAGTGATTTATTAGCTCTAGGTGTTTGTTGGAGAACTATGGAAGAACCTAGTAGTTTAAGAATCTCTGCCACTAAAACTATTAGCATGGAGTTTGCTACAAGTGTTGGATTCCAGGAAGTTGTCACCCGTCTCTTGTCACTGTCAGAACATTTCCATAAATTAAAAATGGATCAAGTAGAATACGTGGCTTTAAAAGTTTTATTATTAATTACACCAGGTATGTTATTAAAAATTTTAAAAATGAAGAAAGATGTATTGAATATAAATATGGCATTGCATCAATATTCAATAGCAAGGTATTTCTAAGGACAAATTGATTTTAACCTGATCCTTTTGATTCTTTTAGTACTTCTAACATGAGTATTAAGGGGTTATAATTTTTTTTATTTTTAGACGTGAAAGGTGTAAAAGAACCAGCGAAAGTTTCCGAACATCAAGAAAAATTAATGGAGGCTTTGGAAATTTATACTTGTAGCCACTTTCCTCGATCACCAAGTAAATTTGGAGAACTGTTATTAAGATTACCAGAGTTAGCACGTGTTAGTTTTATTGCTAAAGAATTATTATTAAAACATTTACCGAAAGATACAACAACTTGTGGGTTACTTGTCGAACTATTGAAAGGAGAAAATGCAGCTAAAGAAGCCTCATGATGCATTCTTAATGCTTTTAAGATTCTAAGTGAATTTGATCAGGAATTTTCATTAAAAACAATGAAAGGATGTAAAAGGTAGTTTCGGATTTGAGATAATTTTGAGATGTGCAGCCTAAGAAATTCTCCACAGAAAATATTTGCATACAGTGAATTGGGAAGACTATTTTCATAATTCATTAGTTTAAAGTGGAAAGAAGAAATACATCAAACCACTAAAGTGTCTTTTTTTAAGTTGGTTCCATTCATTATACTCACTACAGATAATATTTGTACATTCAATATCAGTACCTTGCTTTTAATAATAAATATATATATCTGGCTAGAAATTAGAAAATGAATTTGATATGCACTGTTCTTATAGTTTAACCGAATTTTCTTTTGTTTTAATCTGTTTTAACATCTAGTTGAATTTTGTTTTTTATTGTATTATCGTAAATTAAAACCAGATGATAATTAGATAATATAATAGTAATATTCCAGTCTAGTATATCTGATAGTTATTGGTGATTAGTGAGATCAGACTTGCTTCAATTCTAAGGAAGTTAAGGAAGCTTAACATTCTCATACATAAGCATAACATTTTCATATTCTAAGTCATAAAAAGACTTTGACTTACTTATTCTATACTCTATGTGGTCATCTATGTTAATAAGAGATATCTTTTCACCTTAAGTTTTTTCATTATACATACAAGTCTTGAGTCAAATCATGAATGAAGCCTGGATTATGTTTTCAAGATAGCTGTCTTAATTTGTTATCTTGAGTTCTTATAAAATAATGAGTTTGTCTTAAATCTGCAACTGTTATCCTATTATGTTTTTGCTATTTGGGACCACATTCATTTATTTTCTTATCAGAGATATTTTATTGTTAAGTTTTATTTTGAATATATAGTTATCATATTTGTGCAATATGAAATGTAGATTATATTTCAATAGAGAATTTATCTTAGAATGAAAGTGCTATGTAGTCTCATGTAGATTGTTTAAATATTAGTCTTCATATGTAAATTTGTTACGGATATATAAACTTAAAAATTCAACCTCATATAAAAGTAGCTTTCTTTATTTCATTGTAAACAAATTGTATTTATTAAAATTTCTGTTGGGTATTTACCGGTACTTGTGGGGAATTACATGTAATTCTTGTTGGTATTTCATATTTTTTGTAATAGGGTTTTTTTTTGTGAAATACCATATTTTAACCATGACATGACCATGACAGTTCTAAACCTTGTTGTTTTAACAACCTATGGTTTGCTATGAATGTTGAGGTGACAGGTACCCTAGTTTGGGATGTTGATTTGAGTCTTGAATATATATAAATAGTCTTCAGAAATACTAGAAGTGTAGGAAAATTGCAGGATTCCTTCAAATTATCTTATTTTCTCTTTCTGGTAATTTCTTTTCCTTTTTCTAGGGATGTCTTTTCTATACATGGCAGTGTCTCAAGAAAAGACAACAGGTCCTTGTAACTTTCTAACATGGACTATTCTTGACATACATGGATTTGAAGTCTCAAATTCAGATGTTGAGCTGTAAACACTATTACTGATTAGCTTAGCTAAAAACTTCGTATTTCTGGGACTAAGGTATGATTGGTAAAAAAAAAAAGTGTCGCTGTCCCTTAAACAATGAAACAATAATCATGTACAGTTTCACTTTAATGATTACTTCAGTCATATTTCTATACAAATGCTATTATTAAATTATTTCTATACCTTTCCTCTTTACTTCTTTTATATTTACTGAATACAATTAGAGAAAAAATTGTTCTTCGAAATCTATGAGTTATTTTATCAGTATCTTTAGTATGCTTGCCTGAATATTGAAAATGATGTAGCTTTTTTCCTTTTATCAGATTAGATTAACATCGTGTACATAATCCAGACTTAAGATTGGGTTGAGATTCAGTCAGTTTTAATCAATAAGTTATTACATGTACTATAATATAACATCTATATGTGTATTTATAATGTGCAGTTGTAAATAGTGCAAATATAGATAACTGGGCTAAAATCTGATTTAATGACTACTACTTTATCTGCCAAATAACTTATTAATAATGTACTGTATTCCACAATCTAATCCCGAACTTATTTCTGTGGAAGCCTGTTAAGTAATAAACTAGTATGCAAAATGAACCAGCATAAAGGAGATCTGACAATTAAAGGTAAGCAGTAGGAAATGCCAACCATGCTATTAGTTTTGATTTCAAATTTCTTGACTTAAATTTCAATTTAAGCACTGAAATATCCTTTTTTTGGCTAGACTAACTCCTACCCTGTACTTCCCTTAATTATCATAACCCATATATCTTTCAATACGTTATTATATGAAGTCTTCAATTCATTTATAAATTGTGCCTGTATTAAAAGACAATTATAACTACAAGATAATTTTATTGTCAATAAACAGTTTAACAAATATATATTTCAAGGAAGAAATTTTGGAGTAATAATATAATTTGTCAAGAAACAAACAATAAATGATACATAATAAATCATGTATATAGATACATTTGATAAAAAATATAGCTACTGATTGTCGCTTATCTGACTCTGATCTTAACATAGCTAATGCTCATATTGTTACTTAACTAACCTTAAACAAGAAGATAAATTTTACAGCAATAAGTAATATTCAATATATTATAATTTAATAAGTATATTAATACATAAATACATATTGACTGGTAGAAAGAAGAGTATTTTCTTCAATAATCACATTATCTGCTTCTATCCCAACCTCTGATAGCTATTTGAAAGATAGATATGTTCAGAAAGATGGATATTCTTATCGTCCATCAAAGTTGATCTCAAAGAGTCATGTGATACTAACAAAACTTAAGTTTTAATGATGCCCAACACAAATATACAGATATCGTAAAGATAATTTACTACAATGTCAGGAAAAATGCATCATCGGAGGTTTGGAAATATCCCATAAAACATGGTCTTGTTTTTCTGACTACTCCAGTCGATACTTTTCAAATTATCTATCAGAGGAATAGAGACAGATGTATCAGACTATAATCACAACCTGAGTATTATGACCAGGTGCTGGATGACCATACACAGATATTCTATAAGGGACTTGCATATACACAAATGGGCATATCATATATCAGACTTTTATATAATGCATATCAACTTGTGCTTGTTAAAATCACTCCAATTTAGAATTTACCTTCCAAGTAGGATGAGCAATATCATTTTTAAGCTCATTTCATACTCCTAAATTGTATTCAAGCTGATGCACTTCCAATAGGAAAACAATGAATTTGGACTATATAATGTTATAATGTCAGAATCAAGAATATAATTAAAGACATATAAAAATAGATTTCACTGTACAAGTTGGTGAGATTCTATAAAGGCATTTGAAAGCACAAACAGTAGATAGGGAATGTTTTTAATAATTGAGCCATTCAGCCAAAAATAGAAACATTATCATTTTGATTTGAGAAAATTTTATTCGTAATTTTGGCAAAACATTATTTTAAATAATTTTTACTTATAGTTCAAGAAAAAAAAACCATAATGAAAAATTAAAAAAGCTTTGCTTACAGTCAAAGTTTAATGGTCTACAACAATTACTACCTGAAAGTTAAACTGTACAAACTATTTTAAATCAAAAATAATTATACTGTAATTTAAAGGCACTTTTATATTGCCCCATTGAAGCTTAACCAAAAGCTTACTTTTACATCTAATTTGCAAGGCAGGTAATATATTCAAGAATTTCAGATATAGTTTCTTCAATAATGGACATAAAAAAATAACTATTACAAGAAAATCATGGAAAATTCAACAATTTATAAGATCGAATCTAATAAAGATCAAATAAAGACATTAATGAATGGATACAATATAAAATATAGATCAGAAAATAATATGAAATTGAAAAACACACAAACTTTAAACAAAGACTGCTCAAAGCTGTACAGATTTTAAGCATCAAAAACTTTTGCCCCACAATATTGAAGAACTTTTTTATATTGTATAATCTAATTGAACACTATATTGTTAGTAAAAAAAATTGATATTAAAATAAAGTGAAGACTAACAGTCGATGTTAATACCTACAGTATATATATATATATAAATATTCAAAAAAAAAAAAACAGATTACCAAGTATGAAATATGATAAATAATTTTGTGATAGAATGATAATAATACATCAAATAAATAAATCAAAAAGAAACACGGTACACAAACTATAGATTTCCAAAAAAATGAAATTTCAATTGCACTTAAAAGAGGCACAAGAAATTGGATAATTAGTCTCTTTCAGACATTTGAAACTTTATGCTGTGCAATCAATCAAGAAAATATAGATTAATAAAAGATGGCTTTTCGCATTTTTCAGAGTAAAAAATAAAATGATTTTTATAATGAATTATCCATAAATTCTTAATCTAAAGACGTATATTGACATACGTAGAAAGGCTAGGAGAAGACAATAAACCTAAATCTGCTCAGCGATTATAAATTTAGACCCACTGTTTGTTTACATCACTTAAGCTATGTTTGAATTGACTGGCAACAATTTATTTGGAAGGAGATATGGAAAGTAAAACTGATTTCAATTAATTCATAAAATTTTTGCAAATTATATTTAAAGTATTATTTCCTGTTTCTAGAGATAATTAATGGAATACAAAAATACTTCACTGACATAACCGATCATATATGTCCATGTCTGGATAATCAAAATAAGACTATTTGATCTTTCTTGAAGGGTCACTCAGAAAATTCTTCTGCATTCCCTGCATAAATAATTAATTAAAAGTTAATCAAAGACTTGTGAGACAAACTACTATTTCAATAACATGGCAAGATATTCAATACAATACTGTATATTTTTTTGTTAATACTACTATGCAACTAATTCAGTTTTCATAATATTTACATGCCTTTTACAAATCTGAAATGTTTCATGATTTTGTTCACATTTCTTTAAAGATACAAATATAAGACCAGATAAAACAAGTTCATACTCCCAAGATAACTGACTTATTATACTTGACTATTGATCAACTTAAATTGTCTAATCATTTTTCTTCGACAATATTTTCTGTAAACCTTTACTCATATAATATGGTTTATCAATGGATCCATCATTTCTCTCTAGATCTTCCACTGTAAAATATATATACATAAAATACAAATGAGCAATGATAAAGCAGAGACAATGATCGCACCATGATAACACATTGGCTATCATTACACATGGGCAATGATAACAAATGGCCTGTGTTAACACATGGGCAATCATAACACATGACTACTGATAACACATTGAAAGCTGTAGGCATATCACTGTTACTGTGTTGATTTTATAATCCAGTATTAAACCTATGAGCTATAACCATGTTAAATGCTGATTAAATACTTACAGAAACACAAGAAGAGGGTATCAACTGCCATATTATAAACATTGAAAAATGAACAGGTTATCAAATAGGCTCCAACAACCAACACCTGAAATATACATAGAATAGTATTATAATTCAAAGACTCAGGGCAACACAAAGTCTTGAAATACATAACTTGATTTGAGGCAAGCACAATGTTTCAAATGCATATTATATTATGTTCACATAACAATAATGTCATTTACTTACTATAACTGGTGTCAAATAATAATTTAATTCAGGAATATAATCATTAAATACCGGAATTTTACCCTGGAACCAGAAATAAGCAGCAACTCCTGAAATATTCCATATAATAAATAGTTTACAAATAATAATAGCAGGTTCACAAAATAATGATAAACATACCTATAGCTCCAGTGATCATTAGTTTACTTATAAACAATATACAATAATGATAAACATACCTATAGCTCCAGTGATCATTAGTTTACTTATAGACAATATAAAATAATGATAAACATACCTATAGCTCCAGTGATCATTAGTTTACTTATAAACAATATACAATAATGATAAACATACCTATAGCTCCAGTGATCATTAGTTTACTTATAAACAATATACAATAATGATAAACATACCTATAGCTCCAGTGATCATTAGTTTACTTATAAACAATATACAATAATGATAAACATACCTATAGCTCCAGTGATCATTAGTTTACTTATAAACAATATACAATAATGATAAACATACCTATAGCTCCAGTGATCATTAGTTTACTTATAAACAATATACAATAATGATAAACATACCTATAGCTCCAGTGATCATTAGTTTACTTATAAACAATATACAATAATGATAAACATACCTATAGCTCCAGTGATCATTAGTTTACTTATAAACAATATAAAATAATGATAAACATACCTATAGCTCCAGTGATCATTAGTTTACTTATAAACAATATACAATAATGATAAACATACCTATAGCTCCAGTGATCATTAGTTTACTTATAAACAATATAAAATCTGTTAGATTATCCAACACTACAGTTCTATAAAATAAAATATGTAAATACATTACAATATAACAAGTCTCATATATTTTGAGCTCAACAGTACTAACTGTAATCATCTGAAGAATAATCACAAAAGATCATGATCTCAAGGATATAAAATAATTCTGCTGTCCAGTGCTAAAGATAATTTTCTCCCGCACAAAACATTATGTTTGCAAGCAAAAAAGATTACAATGACAAGCACAAATGATGTCTTGAACTGAGCACAAATTATGTTTATTTATACTGGACTCTCATAATTGAAGCCTCTACCTACCTGACAATGTTTCTCATGATCAAAAAGAAGCCATCTTTAGCAGCAGTACAGAAATTTCTACCATACACAGCAATCTACAAACAAATAGGTGATTAAAAAAAACACATGGATTTTGTTTAAAAAAAATAGAAACTGATGCAATTGCCAGCATCTGAGACATCTGATTCAACTAAATTCAATAGCTATAAGTACAAAATACAAGTAACCAATACACAATAAATAGAAATATAAAAACAAAACTCGAATCATGAAATCACCTAGAGTTTCATGCTACACGACCCCAGACAACTGACCCACCCTCAGTCTGAGTCCCACCGAAGCCAGAAAAGCAGAACTCATTCTTATGTCTACACCTGACAAGTTTGTGACCTTTGTTGAAAGAAGTGTTTTTAGGGGCATTTATATTTGTATCTTGCTCTACAATTGTATTAAGCACTATTTAACAGTGAAAATATTTTATTATTGTAAAACTATAAATAAATATGTTTTTCCTGTCTTCAATCAAAAATCTAAATACTCACCATGATATAAGCATTCTTATTGATAAATCTTAAAATCTTTTCTAAACACCAAAAACAACATTTCATACACCTAAAATAAAGATTAGTGATGTTTCAATCAACACAAATCACATAGCCTATTTTTTTCTTGTGACTAACAGAATCAATTTTTGTAACAAATTTTTTTAATACAAATTTAATGAAATATTTTTTCAAAAATGAAAAATTAATAATACCAATTTATTGAGATTGAAAAGATTATCTTACTTCATACAATACTGAGCACATTTGTTTTCACTGGCTTTCAGTTTTTGATCAATATACTCCAATACCACTCTAATCATCTGTACTATAGCTACTAATAGAGCCCCAAATGCTAGAGAACCAATGTGATATCTACAAACACAAACAATACAATACATTACACAGAATCTGATATTATCCTTTTAACAAAATTACTGAGTTTCACATAGTTTGAAATCATGTTAAAATTGTTGTACAAGCAGATGGAGGCCACACAAAATATTAAATACTCACAAAAATCAAATACTTGTTCTTAAGTATTTGTCCATATCTTTTTTAGTTTATGCTGTGGAGGAAGGAGCTTTAATTTGGAAAACAAGCTGTATATTTAAAAGTATTGCCCAATGCCAAGCTTCATTCTAATTTTTATAGAAGGTCTGTCAAAACCAGTTCTTCTACAGCAATAACTTTTATTTTTAACACTGAGTGATACATGTTTTGAGAAATAACTCTTTACCTTAGGGCTCTATATAATGAAGAAGCAAGAGGATAGTTTGGAATGTCTTTTGGTTTTTCAAAAGCCCAGTAGTATGATGCAAAGGCACCAGCTAGAACCATTTCACCCAGGGCAACAACAAAATTCATCAACCAGAAAAACATAAACAGCATGAAGGCCTGCATAAATATTGTATACCTGAAATGATTGAAATTGGGATTTTGTAGTGATTTTCCACAGATGTGATAATATTACTTGTTAGTATCAGTAGTTTTTAATTTGATTAATTGAATTCCAAAGATAAATTTGTAAATGATTTAACAGTTAAAATAAAACTTACTCATTTCCACCATATTTTACAAATTGACAAAGTTTTCCTGCTGTATCATTCTCCTATAAAATCATTAACAATTATAGTTTCTTACAACTTTATCTCACAACAAACATGATGTTATCTCTAATATTTACCTACGTTGTCATTGTGCTTTAAAACAATTTGGAGAGTTCTACCAAATTTCACTAGACTTTTTAACAAAGATTTGAAAGTATGATTCCATTAGTGTAATTCCAGAAACATTTTAACTTATGATATTCCTATTGTTTAGGACTTAAAGAAATTAGTTTAATATTTTTGCAGTTAGAAATTATGTAATCCAGGGCATTCAAATAAGAATCTTTCCAGTAAACTCTTGATTTCAAATCTATTGAAGGTAAAGTACTCACTGAAGCTTCACAAGGTATCTGCTGTAAAACAACATCAATACCATCAGCTGCAGACGCACTGGATTCATTTCTAACATATTCTGGTGGTCCCATAGAACCTATATATATAGCACTAGAGCCCCAGTATATTACTATCAATATTTGTAATATAAATGGTGTTAGGGGCCATAACAATGTAAACATCATATTACCAATAGCTCTACAATAAAATAATAGTTTTATAGTCATTCGGAAGAACAAACCAATTAGGCACTTTTCAATTTTAAAATCACTTTCTCTTAAGTTAGATTCAGTGAATAACGTATATAATTTTTGAGAGGAATCAACCAAATTGAACAAAAAACTCTTTATTTCCACCAAGTTTTTATGATTGCAAACTTCAATTGAGTCAACATTGGCTGAATTTTTTCTAAGAGAACTAATCAAATAATCAAAGGATGATTAAGAATGGAAAATGATAATAAAAGTCTTACTTGCTGCCCTCTTTAATTAACTCAATAGCTATACAGATTCTCTTGATCAAAAATATCATAATAATAATATAGATAATAAGAATAGTAGCTGAAGAACATCCTAAAATATACAGAAATAAACATTAATAATATCTTGGGAATAACAAAATTTACAATTTACAGAAAGAAACAACCATTTTTTACAAGGACAACAACTTTCATGATTACACTTCCAGCTGGTTCTTGGCCAAATCTATTGGCATTGATCTTTCCTGGATTATTCTCACCCATTGACAGTTGGGTCGACTTGAATTATGAATTCAATGTCTCCAGACTCTGACATGATGACTGAGATCACACGATTGCCATTAATTTGGAGTAAACATGCAAATGATGAAATGTTTCTTACAGATTGTATGTGCACCACATGCTGAATGGACATGTTGAAATAATACAATCATAATTAACAATTTAAACTTACCAAAAGCCAGCCATGTTTGTTTCAGTGATAAGTAATATTCAAAATTTCCAACAAAAGCAGGTGCTAATCCAAATTCAGCTGTTGAATTCAAGTTCTTTAAATGATAATATCTAGAATAACAGTAATAAGTACCTGAAAGAGATATCAACATATTATTGCATTTCCGATCCAACCTTAATCTCAAATGGGATTTTTTTTTAACTAAGGCAATTAGTAATAGTATTCACAGCTCACCATCGATATGTAACCTTCAAATCCATGTGTGTCCAGAATTATCCGTGTTTGAAATTTGAAATACTAGTCGTCTTGAGACACAGTCATATATAGCAAGGACATCTACAGAAATAGGAAAAGAATTTTATTATTATATTTCTGGTACTTCTGATGACTATTTACATATATTCAAGATTTAAATCAAACCCTGAAAATGGTCCCTTTAGGACTATTGACGGAACAAATACTTTCATAGAATACCTCTATAATTGGGACTTCAAATAAATACTAGTATTATATTTCATAGTTTTAGTACCATTGGGAATTGAGTCATTATAATTAAATGTCAACTTGAGTTGAAGAAAGAAATTTAAATAAATTGAATTCACTTAGGCTGGATATAAAAAAATTAAAGAGCTAACTTACTGAATCCAAAGAGTCCAATAAAAGCTAACATAGTAAACCATACTACAACACCAACAATCCAACGTAATAAAACAGTCCATATAAACGATACAATCATCACAAAACATAATCCTCTGTAATAATATCATTCTAACATTAAAACACATGTTAAATTTTATTTAAGGGACAAAGTTGTTTTGACCGAGCATAATTCCAGCTTTTCATATCACCTATGAGGATGTTTAATAGATGTATGGTTTGTCAGCAATTAAAGAACAATGAAAATTTACATCAGTTTAAGTTTCCAGATCATTAAGTCTATATTGGCCTGTAACTTTTGCCTGTATTTTTTCTTTCATTTCTGATATCCATGGATAAGAATTTTATTGTGATAAGAGAAACACATAGCTAGAATTGAGTTCTTCAACTGGTAAACCAATATTTTAACAACCATATCATTTTTATCTAAGAGAAGTTGATCAGACAAAACACATCAAAATACATATACAGTCAAGTAACCTAATTTCGTGGAAACCTATCATTGGTGGATTTCCGGAAAGGATTAATAATTTACATGAGCGACCTTGCGCGACCTCCGCATTAGTTTGTTTTAATAAACATGGGTTTTCTGTACAACATCAGCTAGTAGAATGAAATCAGTAGTGTCAAGCAAGGTAAAATGTATTAATGTATACTTTGACAAATACAAAATGGTGGATTTCACTTATTACCAAACGTCACCATTTTTTATCGGTCAAATTTCCTGATAATCACAAGCGGTAATCGGAATTCCAAGTGTCGTCTGCTAGAATGTAGGCCAACGAATGAAGTCACGTGATCAACTAGCGGATTCCGTGTCATTCCAAAATTTCTATGGAACACAAAGTGGATCATATTCTTATGTTGTTTCAGTGACTTTTAGCAATAAATCACGCTACGTATCTTATTTTGTCAGTCACTATTTTTTTTTTAAATCACGGTTCTTTGAAGGAATTGTCACTAGTTATAATGAATTGATATTATAGATAAATACTAAGAGAAGTTAATTATACCACCCGGTATCCATACAACGTGTTTTTCTAGACTTATTTATAGATCAATCTTTGTACACAAAAATAGGTGACACATTCTGCCGCCGTTGCCGAGTTGGTTGCTCATGATATATGGGTCAAAGTGAAGGATTCATAAAGAAAATCAAAATGAACCAATTTTAATTATTTTGTAGAATATCTGAGGAAACATCTAAGACATCTAAAAAATTTTGTTTTTTTAACTTTGACGAAATTCGGTGTTGAATCCTTATATCCACGAAAATAGGTTACACCACTGTACTACTTACATTATTATTGTGTACCATGAGGCTGTAATATCTTTAAATATCAACGCACCATATTCTCTTACAGCATCAAACTTAGCTAAATATCTACAGAAAATAACATAGTTCACAGTTTACAAAATAATACATATACCAAATATTACTAAAAAGACTTGATAAACCCTGACACAAAATGGCATCAGGTGTTCTGAGTGGAAACAGCTAACAACTGCTGTCACAGTAACAATTTAGACTATGACTCAAGAGCTTAAAGCATTTATGATTAAGAATGGTTATTGCCTAAGGTATTGTTATAGAGTTTATCAGGCAATATGCTTCTCATAGATGGGTATATTCATAACTCCTTTTTTAAGACTTATCTATTGGACATTAACAGTTATCTTATATAATGCTTCCTTGCTTTACCATTTTGGTTTCAAGTTTAAATAGAGACTTTTAGAAACAGGAATTGAAAACTTACTCTGTACCATTCTGTAGCATATCACCTGATACCACTTCTCCTGCAGCAGTCTTTAATTGTTCCCCACCTTCAGTAACTATGGCAGCACTTTTATCAAATATCTTATCAAATATAGATGGTATACATCTTCCAACAACTACAATAATATATTCAATATTATAAATTTATTAAAACATTTGTCGAGTGTAATAGCTTTATTTATAATAATATAGAGCTCTATTCAATGTTTTTGTGTATCTGTAACAAACATATCAACTACACATTTTCAGAGCCATACAATCTTTGATTAGATACATGTCATAAGTCAAAAAGGTTTGTATATATATGTTTAACCTGGGCCTTGAACTCATATGACTCAACTCTGTCAGTCTCTACATCCTGCATCACTGATTGGAGGATGTATCTTGACATGCTGGCATTCAGGTAAGGCAGCAAGCGTCTAACTCACTGAGTCACCAAAGCCCTGGCAAAATATGGACAGTGCTGGAAACGCACATGGCCTAAATTTTCATAATTCATTGAGAATTAGAGAAGATAGTATCTAAAGACAGGTGAAACAAGAACTACCTGAAGTAGAGTTGACAAAATAAGCTGCACAATAATCTTTCTTTACTAAACTCTCAAAATCATCTAATGTTCCCTGAAACAAATATAAAGATCTTCTTTTCTGGTTGAGATGGATTTGAATTTTGAATAACTGAATTATTTGTGGTCACATTCAAAAACAGAATGAATAAACCAACTTCAGTAGAATTATGTACAGTGTATATCTGATCCAAAAAAATAATGGAATTTTCAAACAATGAAAAAGTCAAATGAAAAAGTCAAATGATAGCAAAGTCATGATGACCTATATTTGATACAATGTCAACTGACATGCCAACTAGTTAATTAAAATGTCAATTTGACATTCAATGTTAATTAGAGGTAATAAGTTTATATTTACCTTGTTAGGATCAACACCTTCAACGCAAATAGTCTTATTTCTAGCTGTACTGTCTACTCTAGCTTGTAGATAGACATATTGAAAACTAGGACACTTTTTCACACATACCTTGAAATATAATAAATTTATTATTAATGTACAATGTAAGTTGAAAGATGAGGAATTGGTGTAAGATTCCATTCAACAAGTACATAATTGTCTGATGCTGAAAAAAATCACGAAGATCAACTACCAAGTTTTCAAATTTTGAGTTTTTGAGAATATTTACTCAAGCATAAATGCTGACAAAACAACTCTAAAAATATGTTAGTCAAAATCAATTTTCCAATTTCAAAATAATGAATACTAACAAATTCAACAAAACCAACAAGTAGAGAAAGATAGGTGTTCCTTAAACAAAGTTAAATATTCCATTTGTTTCTAAATGTGTAACATTACTACATTGTATGTAGTTTATAACTTGTGTATGTATATTTTATAATTTTTGTATGTGTGTATTTTATAATTTTTGTATGTGTGTATTTTATTAGTGTATTTTATATTTGTTGTATGTTTTTGTGTAGTTTAGGAGGATACCAGGGAAGATTTGCCTCTGTTAAAATGGTTTTCCTGTCAAATAAAGTATTATTATGATTATAATGTTTTGATGATGAAAGACACACAACTATTGTTTATAATACCACTACTCTAGTAAAGTACCTGTAGGTCTGTATCATACATTACTTCGCAAAGCTTAAGAAAAGCTTAATAACTTGGATCACAGGTTATTAAGGTATCATATCAGGTAAGAATGAGAATAGTAGAGCCACAGCCCTTGTAAAAGTTTTATTATATGCCTACCTGTGGTGTTGGACAACCAGCCAGAGCAACTCCTGGTCCCATTTTAAAACATTGAAATAAATCAAAGAAAAACAGATAGGGTCTGTCACTGAAAATAAAACATCTTTATTGGTTTTTAGATATTCAGATTTTTTCTTTACATGACAATAAAAAAATTATTTAACTCAGCTACAATATTCTTTTACTAAATTTCCAGTATGTCCTTAATGTGTTTTTGAGTCGATTCAACTGACTCAGTTATACAAATATATTATAGTCAATTGTAGAAGTATGGTATATCATATTATATGATAAGGATTATTCTATAGGATGTGTGAAAGTAAGACTCTTTATTTTGTCATGAGCCATGATCTTTAATCATGAAACAATTTATGAGCTTATCAAGGCAATGTAATATCCAATGAATAATGATATTAAATGGTAATTTAAGCTGATAGACTTGTATTGATTATATTGTCAAGTCAACAACTCTGGTATATGTACTTACGCCAGTTCCCCTTGTCCACAAAGTCGACCTTTAGAATCTGTAGGATGTATTAGTCTCTGAGGATCACCCCGGGAATATGCTGAAAATATAAGACATTTAATAATAAATGTCATACATGAATGGTAGTTATATTTATCAATTTCAAATTCTGCACTTCGAAACAAGTTGTGCTGACATGAACCAGTACTACTTGTCAACCTTCATAAACTCAAATAGGTCAGTCTGAAGATCACATAGTGTGAAACAACATGTTTCAGGTTCTGTTTTGACCAACCATAAACATGAATCATTAAAGCATTAAATCTTTGAGAAAGATTGAAATAAACTTTCATTAGGGATGAGAGGAATAAAGAACAAAATCAAATGAACTAACCTACAATGGAGCAAGATATCATGCCAATGATAAATACTACAAATAATATACAACAAAATATATCTGTACATGATCTGAAAAATACAATTGGTTTAAATGAGATTTTCTAATACGGTATGCGTATCATTTGTGATATCATTTTCAGGTCATATTAATTGAATTACATGGACAACAGATTCCAGACTAGAGATCAGAATAATGCAAATAAAAGTGTTCCTGATATACATAAATGGAACACCTTTATAATAGAATGTTATTGTATGAATACCATGAGGGATCTGATAATTCATAATAGCTATATTTGTATATTGAAATGTCAGTGTAAATTGATGATATATAATATAGACTGATATGACATCTGATATAATTATACTTGTTTATATAATATATATAATTTGTCAATCTATTTACATAAGTGACAAAATGTCAATATCAATTGATAGAACCAATAATGTAAGGTTGATAATTTTTCCTGTCAGTTTGTATGCAAAATTATTAGACTACAAAAAATATCTACTTAAAGGGACAGATTAGCCATTTTTTTTTACCAATCATACCTCATAAACCATAATTTTTTCAGTTAAGTCAACTCTTTATTTCACAGCTAACCGTCAAAATTTGAGCCTTCAAATCCATGTGTGTTCAGAATTATCTGTGTTTGAAAGTTAAAAAGACGAGTCTTCTTTTCTTGAAACTGCCATATATAGAAAAGATATATATAGAAATTGGAAAATAAATTCTTAGTTTGAAGTATTTTTTAAGGAATTATGCGATATTCGTACATTTCTAGTACTTCTGAAGACTATTTACATATATTCAAGTCCCAAATAAACCCCCAAAATGGCGCATCTGTCCCTTTAAATTTAATAAATCATGAATAATTAGAGTTTCATTGACTGAGTCATATGTAAATTGCTAAATTTGAACCATTCGTCATCACCTATCTTAACACTCAGCTATTGTACAACTTATTTTCAGATAGATACAGATATATCATTCTATTAAGAAAAATTTCACTGTCATTTTAAGTCATCCATTAATAGTAACTCACTGTACAATTAGTCATCAATTTCTATACATTAAAGTTTCTAGCATACTAATATTTATTACAACTTTAACATTTTGATAAGCCTAAGAGTGGTATCAGGTGTCTTACTTTTCCCTGCAGCACTCAACATGATTATTTTATGATTTTCTTTCCAATTTATTCTCAGTCTGATGTCATAGTTTAACACACTACATATGTTAGTGCAATTCAAGTTTTAATACTCTCAGAAAGTAGGTCACAACATTCCATTTCGAGAAAGATTATAGAAAAGATATATAAGACATACTGGTATATTTTATACTGGTAGGTTAAGTGCAGTGATAAAAATATACCCATACAAGAGATGCTATTCATGTGAAGCTTTGGGAAAGATAAGGTCCTTAACTGATAGCTTCTCAAAATCTTAATAGACATTGAAAATGAAATCGGTTCATCATTTCTACAATTTCTGATTGAAATAAAAAATTGCAAAAGATTGAAAGCTAGACGAGGGGAAGCCCATGATAGTTTCATTGATATTGTTCCTAAAACTTTTCTCCCAGTATTCAACAATGATTTTCTTATTATGGTCAATTCAATTATGTCTTTCCCCTAAAATAGGCTGTAGATCTTTGCACAATTAAGTAACAATTAGGTAATAAAGTTTTAAAAGTTTTTTAATTTAGTCATGATCAATACATCAATGTAATATTTTCGGAAGTAGCTATATTACAGGAAATTATATGAAATCCAACACCTGTTTAGTGCCTAGATATCACATCTCATGTCCTTCTATTGTTGTTTTAACATTATGAGTGACCTTAATATCTAACTACTGTGATCAAGTCTTGCCTGGCATTTCAAATACATATGTCCTCAAAATGAAATATTAAATGGAATTTTATTGTCTGGGAATGCTTTCAGTTCTTTAGAAATACGTATATATATGTCTTACGTAAATTACATCTTATATTAACACATATCCACAGAAAGCTTTACAGGAAGATAACCTACATTTTGGACTGAAAGTTTCTTATCCAAGAAAACCCAAGAAATTTCAAATATTATTGTTGAGTTGGGTGTTTTTTATTGGCATTTTGATTCAGAAAGGATGTGATTGAACAAGAAATATCTGGTTAAGACATACTAAACTCTTTCTATTTCTTTCATTGTAGACATACTTCATTTTATTATAGAACTGAAATTGATCTGTATCACTGGGGAGGGACTAAGCTATTATCTCTATGACAATTTAGCACAATATATAACACTAACAAACCATAGAGGTCTGATTATCATTACAGATATCTATTAAAATATCATACTATTACTCACCTATTTTCTATAGGGCCATGAAACGATGGATCATATTCATGAGGTTTACCTGAAAATTGACAAGCAAAAAGTCAGAACTTTGTAAAAATTAAACTATAATGATTAAAAGTGGGAACATAACCTTTATAATGGTTATACTTCTTAATTGTAACTCCAACAGGAAAGGCAATCAAATAAGGATAGTTATGTTTAAGGCTTGGACAGTGAAGAAAATCTTAACAGACACTAGTCTATTGTTTTTTCTGCATCATATATTATCATTATATTATAAAGAGTAATTTACCAACAGAATTATTTCTCAGTAGATTTTAGTTTTATTGAATTTGACTGCTTTTCGCTCTAATTAATATAAAAATAACTCTTTGACCCCACATTTTTTTGTTGACTTAAACAAATGAATAAAATGTGATTCGTTTTAAGTAAATATTTGAGTAAGGTCTCCGTCACTTGGAAATATTTTACATTATTATTATGACACTACACACTCTTGAAAAAAAAAGTTTTTTGTCGTCTTCTGATTTGAAAATGACTAGCTTCAATTGGCCTAATGTTTATTTTTCAAATCTGTCATCCCTAATTCATCGGTAAATTCAAGTTTGACAATATATTAATAGAAGATTTGTTAGTCTAAACTCATCGCTTAAACTAAATTTAAAGATACATGAATTACCATCCAGAATAAGTGAAGACAAATTTAACATCAGTTAACCCTTATTTGGTAGATTCTCTTTTAAAGAAAATGCTTTATTCTAGATGTATTTATAATATGCCTACTTTTTTGTATATATATATATTGTAGGTCTAGGCCTAACCTGATAGAAGCAATGATTTTTTTTTCAATCTTTGCTTTTTTGACAGTAGCCAAAATTGGACACTGACAGTTTTTTCATACAGCCATGTAAACCAATGTGACAGGTGTCAATCCAATCGCGACAAGAGGCCAAATTAAGTTGAAAGTGACCGCCAGTAAGAGTTAAATACAGTACTGTCAACAACAAATAACTAAGTAAGCGCCAATCAACCATATCACTCTTATTATTCTATATCAATCCCATATATTTGTCCAATCCGCATCACTCGCGCTGCGCTCCTGGACGGATGCAACACCAAACAAATCTAGTCAATTTCTCTTACCATATTTCTTCTCATCGACCATGTTATGCTCCTCCTCAGCCATTTTCAAAAGAAAGTATTGCAGTTAGAGGCCAATACTTCGACTGCTAAAAGTTGTTCTATTTTTATCGCCTACTTCAATAACAAGTTTACTTCCCGGGGAAATTAGTCGCGTATTACAGGGTATGCTGATAAAAGATGCATTCATGATTAAGACTGGATAACCAAGCATGCATAGCGTCATCTCTTTTGCATTAGGACAGATAACTTTTGTTACAGGTGTGATAGGAACAGACCACTTCAATTTTCTTTTCACAATTGTCATAGTGAGACTCAAGGCCATCAACAGTTTCCTGTGGATTAATAGGGTCTACAAATTAAAACAGATACATGTATTTCAAAATTTTTTATTTCATTCTTTTTCACAAGTTTAATACTTATTTGATTTTCCATTTCATATATAAAATAAAGTTTGAGATGACAATAGCCTACATTTGTACAGATAATGTTAAAAAATCCATTTTTACATATTAAACATACAGCACTTTGAATATCCCTGAGTATCAGACATATATCACTACATAACTTTAACCATTAAAATTTCTAAACATTAAGCAGTGATATATAATTTTCTTTCGTTGACCCATTTCTCTCCAAACTGTGACAAAAGAGCTTAATAAAATTAAGCCCTCTCTTTCCAAGAATATCTTAGTCCGTGGAAGATTACCAGCAATGTTACAACCTAAAATTCCTATATTAAATTCTGAACTCTATTTCAGTTATGATACAAGTTACAAAATGAACTTTGACAACTAACATCCAACAAAAAAATTATAAACTATTTTTTTTTTTATATCTAAAATATACATTTTTTACAAAAATACTACATTAATATATCAAATAAATATCACAGTTTGGCCAAGGTTAATCTCAATAGATTAACTCAATGAATAAGTCAGTGGATTTCTTTAGGCAAGACATTAGTAATATAGACCTATTGCATCTTGAAATAAGCCCAGTTTTATTTCAAGAAAATCTTCTATTTAGCCTTTGCTACTAATTAGTAATTCACCATGGAAGAGTATTTTTTCACATCACAAACATACACTTCTTTATGTCAAGAATCTTTCATAATAAACATTATTTCTTTTCAGTTTTATTTTTCTTGCCAAGTAATCCCATTAAACCTTTACTCATATAATATGGTTTACTAGCACTGCCATCATTCATTTCTAAATCTTCCACTGAAAACATAAAATAAAACATAAAGGTGAAAATCTGATAAAGGAATTAAAACAAAAAGAATTAAATGGTATGCCAAAATACTTGACCACCAAATAAATATTTCAATCAGCATGCAATACCATTCCAGAGGAGCATTAATCACGTTTTCACTTTCTCTCTCTTAAATATTTTATATCATAAGCCTTATACTGGACAAGTAGCTCAACATTGAAGACGAGCATAGGACATTTCTGTGTATCACCTTTAATGTAAACAGGATAACCAATAAATTCTGAGCAATTCTAACCATATTTTTGTTGATCAATAGAAAAAAACAGTTACTTACAGAAACAGATAAATAAAGTATCGACTGCCATACTATACACACTAAAGAACAGTGAAGCTGTTATATATGTTGATAATGTTAATACCTAAAAATATATATAAGAGAGAGTATCGTATACCATACAATTGATTATATTCTTTGGTGTATCAGATGATAGTTATAGTTTTAGTTATAGCGTCTAAGAAAATTAACTGATTTTTTTTGTATAAATGGTGGAAATATCGCTTCTTTTAATTCTACATTCTACTTCTAACAATTAATAGAATGTTAGTATTCATAATTTTATTACCAACCAACCATCTTTGAGGCATGTTCAGAAGATGTTTTCACTTGAAATAAAGTAATTTATTTACTTACTATAACAGGTGTGAGGTAGAAATTTAATTTGGGAACATAATTTGTAAAGAATGGAATGCTTCCTTGAAACCAAAAGTATGATCCAACACCTGAAAGATACAGCAATATATTATTACAATATACACTGCTGTGGTATTAGAAAATATTACAAATATACACTGCTGTGGTATTAGAAAATAATACAAATATACACTGCTGCAGTATTAGAAAATATTACAATATAAATATACACTGCTGTGGTATTAGAAAATATTACAATATATATAAACACTGCTGTGGTATTAGAAAATATTACAATATAAATATACACTGCTGTGGTATAAGAAAATATTACAAATATACACTGTTGTGGTATTAGAACATATTACAATATATATATACACTGCTGTGGTATTAGAAAATATTACAATATAAATATACACTGCTGTGGTATTAGAAAATATTACAATATAAATATACACTGCTGTGGTATTAGAAAATATTACAATATATATAAACACTGCTGTGGTATTAGAAAATATTACAATATAAATATACACTGCTGTGGTATTAGAAAATATTACAATATAAATATACACTGCTGTGGTATTAGAAAATATTACAATATATATAAACACTGCTGTGGTATTAGAAAATATTACAATATAAATATACACTGCTGTGGTATTAGAAAATATTACAAATATACACTGCTGTGGTATTAGAAAATATTATAATATAAATATACACTGCTGTGGTATTAGAAAATAATACAAATATACACTGCTGCAGTATTAGAAAATATTACAATATAAATATACACTGCTGTGGTATTAGAAAATATTACAAATATACACTGCTGTGGTATTAGAAAATAATACAAATATACACTGCTGCAGTATTAGAAAATATTACAATATAAATATACACTGCTGTGGTATTAGAAAATATTACAATATATATAAACACTGCTGTGGTATTAGAAAATATTACAATATAAATATACACTGCTGTGGTATTAGAAAATATTACAAATATACACTGTTGTGGTATT